AAAAATCTGTGAAGCTGGGAAAGCAACCAATCCCTGCTATGGTAGATCCAGTATAGAGGATTACCAAACAAAAATAAAAAATAAATAAAATTATCGGCACATTGAGTTAATAACATTCCCAAACAAGAAACAGAAGTACCAATCATACAGTTTTTTTTTTGAAGTGAGCCAAAAAATCTGTCAAGCTTTTTTAAGTGTTAATGTTGACAATATCTTGTACATTTCTATCGAAGGTAATGATATCTGGTGGTAGCGCATTCCAATCAACTGCAACACGGTTACATAAAAAAGTTTTGTGAGCTACACTTTTAATAATTCGATGGGGAAAACCTTGAAGACCACTAGCTAGTCCAGGTTGCGTAAGTGCAGGAGCGGGAGATAGTGATTCGATCCATTTAACTTTGCTTATGCCGTGGTAAATCTTAAAGTATTTTATAAGATCACTTCGACACCTTTGATTTTCAAGTGATTGGATACCAATAGCTGAGCAGCGTTCCTTGGCTTTCATGGTTCGCAGATTTGGGACACGTTTTGTGGCTCGATTTTGAACAGCTTCAAGAGCTTTTATATTTTCAATTGAAAAGGGTCCCCATGCTGACGAGCAATACTCCAAATGAGGCCTTACATAAGAGCAGTAAAGGACGAGAAACGTTTCAAGAATCCAATGTTTGAAAGTGCGTCTAAGAATTCCTTGAACAGTATATGAGTTTGAAATAGCTTTTGCTACTTGGTCGTTTCACAAAAACCGATTGTGAACAACAACACCAAGATCACATTCAGAGATGGTCTCTTTAAGAATGTGAGAAAAGCCAGTTTTGTCAGTCATTGTTAGTTGGAAGCAGGGATCATTAAGTTTATCATCAACAAAAGTTTTGTTGTTTAATTGTTGTGTGCGATGATGCTTGTTAAAAATCATATAACTGCATTTTTCTAGATTAAAGCTCATTGACCAAGTGTCAGCCCAGTCAAGTACTCTATCGATGTCGGTTTGTAATCGCTGCAGGTCAGAGGGTTCTTTTATAATTACAATAATTTTGGTGTCATCAGCATAAATTTTCCAGTGGTGATTGAGTAGACGAGGCATATCATTAATAAAAATGAGGAATAGTAGTGGTCCTATACATGAACCCTGAGGTACACCACTGAGGACGTTCAACCAGTCAGATTCTGAATTTTCTAAAATAACTCGTTGTTTTCGATTGGATAGGAGTGCATTTTTCCACTGGCTGATATATTTGTCAAAACCATACGCGCGAACTTTTTTAAGAAGTAACTTTATCAAACGCTTTGGCAAAGTCAAGCAAAACTACAACAACTGCATAACACGATTCCATAGCGTGGGTAATTAAATCAAATGATTCCAATAAATTGGTTAAACAAGACTTACCAGGTGTAAAGCCAGGTTGGTTTGCGTCAATCTCTAACAAGTTGTTCCATAATTTTGCATAGAACAGATGTAATTGAGATTAGGCGGTAGTTTTTAGGGTTAGTTTTTTTACCTTTTTTGTAGATAGGTCTAGTATTAGGTAACTTCCAGCTATTTGGAACTGAACTTGAGCAAAAAGATTGAAATTGTTGAAGTTGAAGAGTGCATTTCATTTAGCATATGGGGATAAAAATTATCTATCCCTGCAGGTTTAAATTTGTTTAGTGCTTTTAATTGATTTTCTATTGATGCTTTTGAAAAGATGTTTTCGTTAATATTTGCGTAAGTAGTGGTACGTGGCTCAAACGATGATACAACATTAATAAAATCTTTCGAAAACACAGAAAAAAACTGCTTATTTCTATTCGATCCGTGGTTACATTTTCTGTATGGTCAACAAGAGCGTGAAAGCGTTCTCTGGTTGATTTTTGCTTGTTAATATGCGAATAGGGCAGCTTGGGATCTGACTTACATTTTGCAGCTAAATTAGCTTCATATTCTTTAGAAGCTTTAACTAAAAGTGATTTGACGTGACGAGAAGCTTTATTGAATGATTTAAGAAATGGTTTGACAGTTTGCGGAGCAGCACGGAGATGAGTAAATGCTGAAAATTTATCTTTTGTTGCTTTCTTAATTTCACGATTGAAATATATTAAATTGAATCTTTTCTTTCTTATAATCCATTCTAATCGTAGTTCTGGTCTTCTCTGTGTTGTCGGCAAGTATTAGATCCCATGTTATTGTTGAGTGAAGTTTACCTTTCAAAGTGTGACCAAGTGGAGGTTGTATTCAAATATTGGTAAGACTACTTGGGTCATCAGTAAAAACTAGATCAAGAAAATTACTACCAAAAGATGGTTCATGGACAAGCTGAGTTAACAAACTAGAATTCACTACATGAAGGAATTCTAAGTCTTCTTTAGAAGAGGTTTGACATAATCCACCAGACCTTAACCAAGTAATGTGATAGTTAAAATCACCAGCTAATAATAGATGGGTAAATTTGCCTTGATTTACAAGTGAGGACGCTTTTTTGATTGATTTATTTATTTCATTATCGGTAGCTACATCTGATGATGGGGGCCTGTAAACACAACCAATAAGAATGCTATTCTTTCCAACATTGAGACCACACCAGACTTGCTCGCTAACTTCAGTAGGTAGCTGCGACTCTGTAACTTGATAGACTGTAAGGTTAGTTTTAAAATAGATTGCAAATCCTCCTTTCGCATTGTTACGTGAAACATGAAAAGGTGCCTGGTAATTTTGTATTATGAGCGGAATATTAGGGTCAAACCAAGTCTCGCATAACATTAATACATCAGCAGAATCATAATTGAGTCTCGAGTTCAGTTTGTTAATTTTATTATTGAACGAAGTTGGGTTCGTGTAGAAGAAGCAGAGTTTGTTTAAGGATTGGTAAGTGCTGGGTTTGATTGTTTTGTTGACATAAATGTTAATAGATGTGCTTTGACAGTCAACTTTGATCTTGGAGGTTTCATCACTGTTGTTTGAGCTGGGCAAACAAGCTGATGATGGCGTAGCAAAGATGCATTTTTTTAACTTCTCCGGATTTGATAATGGCGATGCAGTGGACATATTGAGTTCTTCGATAGATAATATAGCGAAAGGGTTTGTCTAGCTTCTCTTTAAGAGAAGCTAGACAGACTTTACTTTTATCTGCTTTCATTTAGCACCACTTCAATCTAGAGCCTTTCTCTTTTTTCTATATTGCTTTCCTTCATCTCAAGACTGCACTCTTTTTGATATTCTTTCTGATCAAATTGACCAAGCTCTTTCTCTTTATTCTTCAACCAATATTGTTGTTGATGATTTTAATGCTTGTCACACTGAATAGCTTGGTTCTAGTGTCAGTGACTCTGCAGGCGTCACTGACACTTAAAACAGGTTGATCCATTCCTTGACATTCGTATCACTCCAGCTTCTGTATCTAAAGTGGTTTCCTGCTTAGACTCTTCTACAGCTTATGGTCCGGAAAACATACCTGTTATAGTCTTGCAAAAGTGTTCTCCTGAGCTGTCGTCTATCTTTTCAAAACTATTCAACAAGTGCTTATCAGAGTCTTGTTTTCCAGCGTGCTGGAAAACAAGACTTGAAAATAAGTGGCATCTGTTATTCTTATTTTCAAAAATTCTGGAGAGCGATCTGACTTGTCTATCTACCATCCCATTAGTCTTACTATCATAAGTAAGGATTTTGAGTCTTTAATTAACAAACTCTTAATCTTGAATCTTGAATCTAATAACTTACTTTCTGAACATCAGTATGGATTTCGATCTTCTCGTTCTACTGCTGATTTGTTAATGTAATAACTGATAGGTTTTATTGTGAATTAAATTAGTGTGTAGAGGCTAAGGCTATCGCTCTCAACATTTCTAAAATCTTTGATAAAATTTGGCATAATGGTCTTTTCCATAAGCTCTCTACTTATGGTGTATCAGATTACATCTTTAAGATTATTGAATCCTTTCTTAGCAGTCATAGTGTAAAAGTTGTCCTTGATGGACAGCACTCTTCTTCATTTTCTGTAAGTTCAGGGGTTCCTTAAGGTTCTTTCCTTGGCCCTATACTTTTTTTTAATTTACATCAACGCTCTCTCTATAATATTTTAAATTTATATTAACGATATCCTTGAAATTCTCACATCTAAGGTGGCATTGTTTGCAGATGATACTACCATTTATTCTTGTCTTGATAAGAAGCCAAAACTCTTTGATTATTAGAAAAGGACATTTGAGCTTGAAAAAGATCTATTTTTTGCTTCAAATATGTGCTCTCAGTGGCTGGTGAACTTTAACTCAGATAGAACTCAGTTTTTTTCTGTTAATCGTTATCCCAACAATCTAGATCTTCCTATATTTATGAATGTTAATGAGCTCGATGAGTCATCATTGTAAACATAGTTGAACCTGCTCTTACAGCCAACCTCCAACCATTGTCACGTCGTTGTAATTTTGCTTCTCTTTCTCTTTTCTATAAATTCTATAATGGGCACTAGCTCTAAAGAGCTAGCATCTCTTGCCATCTACTAAAATTTATTCTCGTGTTACTTGCATTCAGTTAAATCTCATCCCTTTCATTCACTCCCTTTACTTATTTTCCCATTTTATATAATTTGCATTTAAGTCGTCTGTTCTAACTTTAATAGTGGTTGTTTGCAGCCTAGTTGAAAGTGAAGATGTTAAAAAAACACACACACAGATATATATATATATATATATATATATATATATATATATATATATATATATATATATATATATATATATATATATATATATATATATATATATATATATATATATATATATATAAATGTATATGTATATATATATATGTGTGTGTGTGTGTGTGTGTGTGTGTGTGTGTGTGTGTGTGTGTGTGTGTGTGTGTGTGTGTGACAGAGCCCTGTTACAAATAAGAAATTTTTGACTTTAAACTGTAATGTCATTTTTGGGGCTTCTCAATATAAGTTTTAAATTCATTATTTTTGTTAAGTTTAATAATTAATAATTACTTATGGCTTTATTATAACCAGTACATTTTATTTTAGTGAAAACAACAACTTCTACAACTTCAAAAATAAAGTTATCTAGTTTGGAAAATTTAAGTACTCATTTTGAAGAGAATAAAGAACAAAATAAAAAATTTAAAAAGCCAGCAGTTGCTGTTGTTGCAGAGCCAAAAATTTCAAATTGGTTATTACAAAAGTTTAATGCCTTAGAAGGCAATGTAGTAAGTGCTCACTATTTGTAATATGATAAAATTAGTTTATTTTGTTATTTAATTCTAATTTTTTAAAATCATATTAAATAAAAAATACATAAATTAGTTTAACAATATTTGTAGAGGTTACTTTTTATATAATTGCTAAAGATTTTCTCACTTTACTAGCGTTATATACTCTCAATATTCAAACTAATATTTTAAAAAAAAAAATTTTGAAAAAATTAATTCTTAATAAAATATGTTCCATCATCTTAAGTAAGAAAAATACAATTTCCAAATAACCATGTGGCATAATAACTGTCATCTTCATTCAAATGACTTTTTCTTTTTCTTTTTTTTCTTGAATTAGAAAGTAAAAAACTAAAAAAGCAAATGTAAATTCTCTTTTGGAAACACATTTCCTAAAGATCTCTCACTTTACTCTTAAAGTAATCACCTTCAAGTTTTAATTTAATATTTTTTTATTCCTCCTGATAGGACCATGATCAATAAATGAATGTTCTGCTGAAGCTGATTTTTTTCACTTTCTTTCGAAATTTTGTTATTGATGTTGGCTAACATGTGTTAAATCTTTAACCTTTGTTAACATAAAATTTTCAACACAAACACCCTTTTTTGTAGCCTTTAGGATAAGAGTTGTTGGGAAGTCAGGGCTTTTTCTTTACAATTATTAACTGTTAAAGGTTTTTTGGTGATTTGAGCATATCCCGCTCTTTTAAACAGCAGAATATTGTTTTTCCACTGTTCATATTGGTTGCTTCTTAACCTTAAGTAGATATATTTCATATGGACACATGTAGGCACTTCAGTAGTAACAGCATTGGCTTATGTATGTACATTAGGCAATAGTGGTATTAATGAGCTCCTTTCCTGATTTTGATGATTTATTACTCCAGATGAATAGTTAAAAAACTTATTTTTATTAAAGATCTTCTCTCACTGATGAAAATCAAACATTTTTATTTAATTTGTTAACTAGGAAGTCCAAAGAAGTTTATTTGGACCACTGGGATCAACCATATTGTATAGTTTTTTTCTAATCATCGCAAGTCAGAAACCAACTGATCTTATTTATATGATCCATAAAAAGTTGAAGATAAAAATTACATCGGCTGCATCTTTTTTAGCAATAGTTTTATCATGCTTATATAATTAAAAAAACTTCATTTATTAAGAGGAATAATAATAATCATGGTTGATTACTTTAGACTCAAGTTTTTATTATGATATTAGATATTGTTTTTAATAATTTTTCTCTTGCATTAAGATTAGATTCTTGTTTTCTTTTATAAAAGGTATCTGTATTGCTTTGATAAAGGTCTCTTTCAAGTTCAAGGTTCTGAAGTGTCTCTGAAATGTTCACTTAGATGCTAGAAGTGTCTCTTAGATGTTCAATGGCAGGATTACTTGAATAGTTTAAAGAAATATTTTTAATATTATCACTTATCTTGTAACATTTTGAATGTTTATCTGTAAATGGGTATCCAAAATATTAAAAGCATGGTACACATTTTAAGATTAGTTTTTAACTATTTGTAAAAAATAAGCTACTTGTAAATATATATATATATATATATATATATATATATATATATATATATATATATATATATATATATATATATATATATATATATATATATATATATATATATATATATATATATATATATATATATATATATTTATTATTAGTCTGATGAAACAATTATAGAGGAGAAAGCACAAAAAAAAGTTGAAGGTTAGAACTAATAAATTAAAAAATGAAAATAATTTCTATATTTGGATATGTATAATCATTATAATACATTATAATCATGTTTTTTTATTTATTTATTTATTTTTTTTCATTAGAAAACGATGTTCTACCAAATAATAAAACAAACAATAGACGTATTATAGTAAAGCAACGAGCAGTCAGCAGTCACACAGATAATGTGTCTTTAGTTATGGCAACAATATTTGGCGTCGGTTTTCTTTTTGCTATAATGGTAATGGTTTGCCGAAGGTGGGTTGAAAACTTAAGAGATTTACATAAACGAGACTATAGCAGACTTTCTTTCTTGTTGGACGGAAATGATTAAATTTAAGTTCTAAGAATATATTTTATTTTACATAGGCCTATTTTTTATAGACAAGATATTAAATATTCTCCTCTAAATGTTTTTAGACGTTATTTTAGTTAATTGAAATGACTTTGGCTTTTTTTTTTTTTTTTTTTTTTGACGCATACCATACATTTTATTTTTTAAAATGCAGAGTATTTATTTTTAAATTTTGTTAAATAAATTATTATGGATATTTATTTATACCCTGAGACTGCCCTAAGTGGTCATTAATCTTAAATGTATTGATTAATTAAGAAAGATTTTCCTTTCTGTTAATGTTGTTTGATTTATTTAATAGCTTCGGGTTGCGTTGCGGGTTGCGTGGCTATAAATAGAAGATTTATATAAATAAAAATTATGTATCACAAGCGATTATGTGATCAATGCGCGGGTAAACACACTTACTGATTTAAACAACATTTTTATACCGTTATGAGCGAAAAAAAGATTTGTATTATCAGTAAACAAGATGAACTCTTGTCTCACAGATCAAATGGAGATTTGTAGTAAAAGTTTTTCTTTTTTTATATCCTTTGATTTATTGATCGAATATTGAAAAATTATTCAAGGACCGTAAAAATAGATAAATTTGCACTACCGTTTGAAGCTTTGCATAAAGACATTTCTAAGATGTTTTGCTCTCTAGCAATTAAAAATGAACGCATTAAAACTCGACGGTTTTTTCTACAACAAAAATTATTCTCGCAACTTTAATCTGAGCAGAAGATCAGAATTGAACCGCAAGGTTAATAAACTACTACGAGTGTTCATCAAAGTATTGGTTCGAAAGGTTAGTTAACTCTTCAAGTATTCATCAAAGTATTGATTCGAAAGGTTAGTAAACTACTTCAAGTATTCATCAAAGTATTGGTTCGAAAAATTAGTATGCTATGTAAAGTTTATATCAAAGTATTGGTTCGAGGTAGACTATTTTAAAGGCATTATATAATATAATAAATTTTAACAAAGACCTTCATATAATAATATTAAAAAAATAAAAAGGTTCTCGTTTTAAATAATATACAATATAAACAGAAAGTGACTCAAAGAAGGCATGAATGATAAGACTATTACCCAGGGCCGACAACACCGGGAGCACGCTCCTCCCCCCCCCCCCTCTTTATTTCGAAACCCGTGTCGTCGGACCTGTTACCTCAACCTTTTCATAGAGTCCCTTCTACAACCTTTTTTTAAAAATTACATTTAATATAACACCTACTGTTTTTTGATATAACAGGATTTTAAATATTTTAATTTTTTTAATTACAATTATTTATTTAGAATTTATTTATTAAGAATTATATTTGAAATAAACACAAAACGTTTTTATAATGTTTTCGTATGTGAAACGTTCTTAAATAAAGTCACTTGTTCTACTTGTTCGGCTTTGTACATATCGTGAAATAGACTTAGCAACAAACTTATCTGGTGTATGTTGTAATTGCAAACCAGTTTCATCCGTATTTCACACACAGTGAGGTTTGCAACAAAGACCCACTTTACCTATACTATAGGTGAATACTATAGACTATAGCTTGTTTCAGCGCATCAAAATATGATGCGCCAAAACAAGCTATAGCCTATAGTATTCACCCATGTAAACGGGGCTCGGTGGTAAGACAATATACGTCTTCTTCTTACTCCAGCCATTTATTATACGTATACGATTTTTTTCATTATAAATGTTATTAAACGGCAAAGGAAATAAATAAATAAAAACTTGAGTATGCATTGTTTATACGCATACTAAACTAACTTGAGTTCATTTTCAATTCCAATTTTTGTAGAACGTCCTGGGCGTGAACCCTTCTGAGTATTTTCATTAAGACGAATTTGCAAAGTACATCGAGGAACCTTATAAATCTTGAATGCAGTACGCTGAGTCATTCTTTTTTCTTTGACTGCTACAGCTTCCACCATTTGACTTTACAACCGTTTTAAAGCTATAACACCTTTTCACTTGTTAATGCTTGAGTTTTTTTTATCTATGTATAGTTTTTTTTTTTTATTTGAGTGGGGCTCATATCTCTACCTAAAAAATGTTATTGTTAAGCCAAAATAATGACAAAATTTTAAATTAAGAAAATTCTTTTTACAATAAACACGTTTATATATATATATATATATATATATATATATATATATATATATATATATATATATATATATATATATATATATATATATATATATATATATCATATAATAATATATATTATTATATGATTATACAATATATTATTGTATTATTATATGTTGTATAATCATCATATAATAGTAGTCATATAATTTTATAACAGACGCGCTATTTTATAACACGGTATTTTATAACAAGCGCATAGTAATATCCCTATGCTGCGACCAAGGTAGCAGCATGGTTATTTGCATACCTTCGTCTAATAATTATTTTACAAAAAGATAAATTTTTAGTTAAATCTATCAAGCGCTATTTGAAAAAAAAAAATTTGATATTTCAAGTTAGATTTTGATCTAGATAATCATACGCTGTATGATTGTATCATACCACTGTTATAATATGTACACAGTCCTGTATCATAAGACTGTAACAACATAACATGAATTGGGTGGGCAATAAAGTTTTCTATATGCTCAGGGCAAAGCCCACTAACATGGTAACATGAAACTTTCTCTGTTAAAACATACCAAGTATAATTAAAAGATTTTTACAAAAATATTCGTGTTTTTTTGTGTGTATCACTTTATATTAAATATTATTTTTAGATATTTTTGGTATATTGTTACTTTTTTTTGGTTTTTAGAGAATATTAAAACATAATTAAAAAGTTGAATAACTTTTATTGTATGTTTCCTTCTAAAGAATCATTGTAACATGAAACTTTCTCTGTTAAAACATACCAAGTATAATTAAAAGATTTTTACAAAAATATTCGTGTTTTTTTGTGTGTATCACTTTATATTAAATATTATTTTTAGATATTTTTGGTATATTGTTACTTTTTTTTGGTTTTTAGAGAATATTAAAACATAATTAAAAAGTTGAATAACTTTTATTGTATGTTTCCTTCTAAAGAATCATTGTAGCCTAATAAAAGTTAATTTTAAAAGTAAAATAATTTTTGAATAATTAGTTGTCAGTTTCTTAAATAGAAAGGACACAGTACATGGTACACAGTTTGGAATTAATATATAGTTTAAACACTAGGAAAATAAATCCTCTCCTTTGGTGCGATAAAAAAGATTGCGATTGCTTGGGTTGTGTCACAATAAAATAACTGTTTTAACATTTTGATCCGCTTACAAAAATCAAAGAAAATATAATTATGAGAAACTGTGTAACCCATAAGAGTGTGGAGGCATAAACAAAATTTGAATAACTAAGTTTTAAGTAGATATAAACTCTTTGAACTTTTTGTATTGTAGCGTGTTTTAACCATGTTTAAAGAATTACTTAGCAAACGTTATTTAAAAAATCACCAGCAGCGATTTACAATTAAATACCTTCCGGAAAAAAAACGAGACTAAATTTTTTAAGTTTTATTTTCAAAATAATAAGTAAATAATAAAATTGTTTAATAAAAAATAAAGCTTATTTTTTAAAATAATATATTGATCAATATCCCGTCAAGTTTCCTTGGACTTCTATGCATTTTTGAACACGACGGTTTATACTGTCAATTAATGACTTCATTACCCCCACACATTTTCAATAGGGTTTAGATCCGGGCCAAGAAGAAATTTTCCATTTATGTTCTGTGAACCACTCAGAAACTGATTTTGAAGTGTGGCACGTCGTCATACTTCAAAAACTTCAAATGTAAAACTTCTTGGAAAAAGATTTTTTAAAGTTGGCTCAGCTTCAGAAAGTATTACTTTGTATTTTTCACTATTCACAGTGCCCTTGATTATAAACAAAGATATTTTACCTTTGGAACTAATCGCCCTTCAAACAACAAGACTATATTTGAACTTTGGTTTGCCAATTCTCGGTCGTTTCTTTGCCCATCAACCTTCTCAAGTTAGAAATAGCTCGAAACGACTCTCGTCACTAAATACCCATTGATTCCATCTTGTTCTTAGGTATTCTTCACACCATTTTACCCTATTTTCTTGTTGAACAGGAGTTAATAGGGGTTGATTTTTGGGAAAAAAACTGATGTACCCACATTGGTTAAGATAACGAGTAATGTTTCTGGGAGCAACCTTAAGACTGCCTTTTTTCATTTATTCAATTTGAATATCTCGGGCGGATCGTGTGTCATCTTTTCGAGCTAATTGAATCAATCGTTGTTAGTCCTTTAAATTAAATTTTCTTGGTCTGCCTCTTCCTTTCTTTCTCTCCAAGCTCATTCCTTCCCTTATTTTCTTTAAATATCTTACAACTATTGTCTTAGATATACCAGTTAATTTCATCAAAGACTTTAGGTCTTTATGAACTGTTTTAAAAAGATAGTCAAGTGTCAACGCTGACGACTTCATTTCCAAAATAAACATTTTTAGATAAATCAGAAATAATAATGAACACACAGATTTTTTGATGAATATATATGTACCTGCTAAATCAAACTATGGGTTTCATGAAATACAAAAAACGTCATTGTATGACTCGCCAAAAATTGTAAAAATACGAACAAAAGTTTTGCATACGCGGTCTCATTTTTTTTGTCCGTAAGGTAATATCGTCTGTTGGCATCGCAAGGTTTAAATGCGATGAGAAAAACAGCACCAAAACTAGTTAACGGAGCTGGCTAACGGAGTAATTTTAACTGAAAAAATTATTAGAGCAGTTAATATACGGCAGAATTAGAGTACCATTTAATTCACTCCGTTTAAAAACCAAACGTTTAGAGTTTTTTTCTTAACGGACACTCAAATTCTCCGTAAGTTTAAGAAGTGGATACGGCTGCAGGTGTTTCGGTTGGCGTCAAATTTAAAAAAAGATTAGATTTATATAAGAAAATAAATATATTGTCATATGCAGTAAAACATTTCTTGAAAAATATATACTTTTAAAAATCTTTATTTAACAATGTTTATATATTAACTATTAATATTTTTGTGAGTTTATACTTTTTATTCATCTAAATTAACTACAGATTAGGAGATCCAAAAAAAAAAAAAAAAATGCAAAACCAAAAAATTCAAATGAAACAGATTTTACAATTTTAAAACATATTTTTTTGCAACATACATACGAAAAATGCTAACTTATATCGGTTCTTGAACAATAGGATTTTCAGGCTCAACAATACGAGGTCGATATGGGTTATTGTTTGCTAACCAATCAGATAACCAAATCTAATTAATAAAAATATATGATTCAGAGTATGAACACGCAAGCAATATTTATTCGTTTTGTTAAATGTATAAAAAATTAAACATATAAATTCATTAAATATTAAAGCATCAATAATTAAAATATGATAGACTAAAAAATTGAAAAAAATCATTAAGATCAAAATTTGTGGTGAAATTATTCTTTTAAATCCTTATTACGTTTCTGAATTAGTATTGAAGTAAAGAAATAAAATGCGAAAAAAATGCAACAATATTGTTGGAGATAAAATTAAAACGAAGCTGAATTAGATAATGTCATCCTAAGATATTATTCATCCCTGGGCTACTAACATAAACGGACTGTGTTGAAAGTTTGTAAAAATTTTAGTTTTTAGTTAATCTAATAATCTTAACTTCAAGGCCGAGATCACGATAAAGACATTAAAAAAGTCAATTAACCGTTTTCTTTATTGAAAAAAGTCAAAACTTTTTTTTCATTATTTTTTTCATTAAAAGTATTAAAAATCAAACCCAATAAGTTTGTTCCATTTTTACATAAGGTATTTCCGAAAGAATCTTGATACCTTGACTGACCCTGTGTGGTTCCATGAATGAAAGCCCTAACTAAAACTTAAGCAAAGGTGATGCATTTGAATAAAAACAAGTCATTTTTGAACCCAATAGTTTCTTATTAATAGTTTATTGTTTAAGTAATCAATTTAAAAAAACTGTAAAATAGTAAGGATTTTGTCTGAATTAGACTACAAGGACTCTACCCAACTGATGATTTTTCACCATGCGTGTACAATCCAAATAAAATAAAAATAAACACTTTGTAAGATTAAAAAAAATTATTTAAATTGATATGAATCCCATTTGAATCTCTATTAAGTATTTGTGTGTTCTAATTGTAGACTCTAATTGTAGTATAATTGTAGTATAAAAGTATTCAAGAAAGATATAAAGCACTTTTACAAAATATTTTATATGTAAAATATATGTATATATATATATATATATATATATATATATATATATATATATATATATATATATATATATATATATATATATATATATATATATATATATATATTTACATATCTGTAAATCATAATTTCAAAGATTAATTCTGAAATTTGTAAAGGCTTGTATTATATTAACAAAGACTATAGATCTACCAACCAAGACTAAAACAAAAAAACCGCTTCAAAATTTATTTATCTTTCTTAAGTAGATTTCAATCAATTGATAAAAAATATTGTTTTATAAAACATTTTGATAAAACAAAACTTACTATAGGTTCAATCGGCTTTCTTTTACAAAGCTGTATCAGGCCTTTAAGAAGGGTGGGGTTAACATATTTTCTTAAATAGTCTTTAGCATCATCATTTGATAAAATTGGTTCAATAATTCCTAAAATTAAAAACATTGAAGCAACATATTAAAAACAAAAATCAACAAATAACATAATTAAACAATATAAACTACATATTAACTAAAATAGTTTACCTAAATTATACAAAAATAATAAGACTGAGAATAAATAAAATCAAAAAACATGAACTAAATGGCAGAGTTGTTAAGAAGGTCAAAAGTAGCAAAGCCATGGCCAAGGCCACATGTTACAAGGCCAAGGCCAAGGCCAGTAGTTTTAAAGTCAAGGCCAAGAATAAAAGTTTCAAGGCCAAGGCCTACATAAACATTTCCAAGACCCAAGACTTAAATTTTTGACGTATGTTAAGGCCAATTATTAACAAAACTGTATATAACATAGCTGTGACAATAAACATTGTAGACATGTAAAAATGAACCAAGGCTATGCGCAGAAATCAATAGTCAGAAGTCAATAAGAAAATATACTTGTAGAAATAAATGTAAGCTAAAAACAAAAAAACAAAAAAAGAATGAAAACATTTAATTTGTATTTTTTTAAGGCCAAGGCCAAAACAATTAAGGTCAAGGCTAGGCCAAGACCAAGGCCAAGGCCAACAGTTTCAAGGCTAAGACCAAGGCTAAGGCCTTAATTTTTAGCCCTAAGGCAAGACTGAAGCCAAGGCCAAGGACGAACAACTCTGCTAAATTGCATTTTATTCAACAAAATTATTATCTATTACTAATATTTTATAATTATATATACTAATCTATATTATGGTACTAGTATATTCTGTAGACATTATGATACTAGTATATCCTGTAGACATTATGGTACTTGTATATTCTGTAGACATTATCTTTTAGAATTAGTACTGCAGCAAACAATTTTTTCAAAAAAATTTAATAAAGTATGTAATATATATATATATATATATATATATATATATATATATATATATATATATATATATATATATATATATATATATATATGCATATATATATATATATATATATATATATATATATATATATATATATATATATATATATATATATATATATATATATATATATATATAAATATATATATATATATATATATACATAAAAATACATTCTTTCTCTTTAAGTCCTTTGTTTTGCTTTTTGAATGTATAAACTTAATGATTTAAAAGTCCTTTGTTATGCTTTTTGAATGTATGAACTAATGATTTAAAAGTCCTTTGTTACACTTTATGAATGTATGAACTTAATGATTTAAAAATCCTTTGGCAATACAATACTTGTTTAAAATCTTTATAAAATTAATAATAAAATATACTTGAAAAGATTTAAATTTATTATAAAAAATATATGCATCTATAAATAAATAATAACATACATAATATACAGTATCGGACAAACCAAGTACAATCAAAGAATGCTAATTTAGTTTCTTTATATAAAAGTGCTGCATTTTCTCAATTTAAAGAAATAACTATGTAACTGTTTAGAGACAACGTTCTTCAAGTTTTAGTCATCACAAAGTTCATTATTTTTTCACAAAAATTAATAAATTAATCAAAAGTATTAAAAAAAGTTGATTTCCTTCTGGACAAAACAAATGCAACTCCACAAAATGTTGACCAAGCTGTATTTCGCTATCAATATTTCGTAGTGAATCCTTTGATGTCAATCACAACCTTGCATTTTCGAAGCATAGATTCAATCAGGTGATCAATGAAACTTTGTGGAATCGCTGCCCAGGCCTTTTGGATTTTTTTAAACAGTTGATCCTTATTACAAACACCTTCACAAATAATTCTGCGGTTGACGATCTCCCACAGGTTCTCGATAGTCTTGAAACCACTGCTTGACTACTTTTGCAGTGTGTTTCAGATCATTGTCTTGCTGAAAAACCCATTTTTTTGGCATATTTCATTCAGCATAAGGTAACATAACATCTTTCATTATATTTTTATACATGAAATGGTCCATTATTCCATCCATTCGATGTATTGGACCTAGACTGTTAGCAGAAAAACACCCCCAGACCATTACATTGCCTTCACCATGCTTCACAGTCTTATGGCAGTAACGTAAATCGAAGCATTTTCTGGCCGGTCGACGTACACGGCAAATGCCATCGCTCCCAATGATGTTGAACTTCGATTCATCAGTGAACAGGACAGTTCGCCATTTCTGCACATTCCAGTCAATATGAAATGTAGCAAACAGGAGTCTTTTCTTCTGGTTCTTTAGCGAAATCAGCGGTTTCTTTGCAGGGTGTCGAGAAAACAATCCGGCTTCAACAGCAGGTCGTTTGATTTCGGTCCAATACAGGCAGCTCTAATCGCTTTTGTGTCTTGACTGATGATATCCAGGGATCCTTCTTGACGGATCTGAATCATAGAATCCTCTCTAGAAGTGGTGGAACGCGGTCTTTCACTTTTGTTATCTGCTGCCAAATTCTCCGTAGAACAATGTTTGGAACATAGCTTTGATATGGTCCATTTTTTCACGCGATATTTATCACAAATACTTTTTTGTGACATTCCACTTACGTAATCGACAATAATTTTCTTTCTTATTTTCAATTTAAGACTGTCGGGAGCCATTTTTGCACTTGAAGTCATAAAAATAATAAAAATAAATAATCAGGCTTCTCAAGGCTTACCGTGTTACATTTACCTTGTGATAATAAAATAATGCTCTGTGGAACACAACGTCTTGGTTGGATGTGGACTGTATTGATGTAATGAAACACTTGTTCTATTTCATTTGTTGTATTGATGTTCTTCGATAAAACACTTTGATAAAACTCACTTCGATAAACTGTCTTGATAATACTGACTGATTGACTTCCATATACTGACTGAATTACATGTCGGTTTACATGTCTCTTATATAGTAGAATGAACCTGTGTGAACCTGTTCTGGAAGATTCTAGATGCTTCTTTTCGATGCTTCTGAAAGCTTCTGGATACATTTGAATGCTTCTGAATGTTTCTGGATACTTCTGGATGCTTCCAGATGCTTCTTCTGGAAACTTCTGAAAGCTTCTGCATGCTTCTGGAAACTTCTGGATACTTCCTTTAATTATTAAAAAACTTCTGTGACGTTGACACAGACCAGACTTATGAAAATGAAACAAACCAAAAAAGTTGCACTTGTTTTGTCGACTGCAAAATGGCACTTGTCAATGAAACTCTTCCTGTTTGCTGTCACCTGTCAGCTGATTTTTTTTTTTTTTTTTTTTTTTGTATGTATTAGGTGCTCCCAGAAGTCCTTGCGGTCTTATCATAGAGCACCGCGGGAGAGCATTTAACAGGAAGTTCACGCCTCCTTCCATATCAATGTCGCTTGTTGGGCTAGCGCTGGCGTCGAACCTCGGACCTCTGGGTTCTGAGCCAGAACTCTAACTGCGCACGGCTGCGCATGATTGCTCATGTCATGGCATGCTATGACTCGAGACTCCTGAACTGTTTGCTGTGGTAGTATAGTTCGTTTGTTTTTAAGACATGTAAAATTAGGAACAATTTTTAGCATTGTTCGATGTTGGTTGCAAATGTTTTGTCCAATACTGTATAAAATCATTATAGCCATATATATAAAAAAAATAATTAGTACTAATTTGTTACTTTAAATAAAATCGCTTAACATAATATAAAAATATTTTTAATATGCAATAAATAAAGTTATTTATTTCAAGCTAAATTATAAGCATAATTTAAAATAATTTCCTAGAGAATTTTTTAGCACAATTTTAAAAAAAGTACACTCCTTTATTTTGTTAAAAAAAACTACTTTCTGAATTTTTTCTACAAAATAAAGGAACTTAACTTTTAGAACTCAATTTTAAACTTATTGTTAAAAGCGTTTTAAAATCAATCGCTAGCATGAGGAAAATAATTTAACTTTATTGTTGAAAGAGCTTTATAAGCAATCTCTACATGGGAGAAAAAATTTCACATTATTAAAAGTGTTTTAAAAGCAATTTCAAGACATAAATTTATCTTGAAAACAAACTCAATATAAAGATTATTTCATAAGTACTATTTCATAAAACAAACCAAACCTTACTTTTTACCTTGTAAAAAGACGTAGTCTGTAAAACAAGAAGAGGCTTTCTTACATAATTTATTATTATGTAAGAAAGCCTCAGTTTTATTTGCTTGCAGTCTTATTTGCTTTCTATTAACTTCCTACTTAAATTGTGGTTGCTTGTAGCTTTTTTTGTTTTCTATTAACTTTCAAGTTTAATCGTGGTTGCTTTCGGCTCTATTTAGAAGTTAATTTTTCTTTTAGAAACAAAACAATTTAAAAATGAACAGGTTTTTTGACTCAAGTTTTCATATATTTCATATAGATAAATAATTAAAAATATAGTTAAGATCTTCATACTGTTCCTTAAAAATTATTTTCATTGAAGTATGGATTATAGATTAAAGCATTAATAGATTATATTTTTGTATTTTATATATTAATAAAATACAAAAATATAATCTATTAATGCTTTAATCTATAATCCATACTTCAATGAAAATAATTTTTAAGGAACAGTATGAAGATCTTAACTATATTTTTAATTATTTATCTATATGAAATATATGAAAACTTGAGTCAAAAAACCTGTTCATTTTTAAATTGTTTTGTTTCTAAAAGAAAAATTAACTTCTAAATAGAGCCGAAAGCAACCACGATTAAACTTGAAAGTTAATAGAAAACAAAAAAAGCTACAAGCAACCACAATTTAAGTAGGAAGTTAATAGAAAGCAAATAAGACTGCAAGCAACCACAATTTAAAATAAAACTTAATAGAAAGCAAATAAAGTTGCAAGCAACCACAATTTAAAATAAAAGTATAAATACTTTAAATTGCTAATATATATGTTACAAATAACATCTAAAGAGGTTTAAATATCCAAGAAAATAAAATCAAAAAAACCATTGATTAAAAATACCCTTAGTTTGGTTTATGTGACACATTATTTTCATAATGCAGGATAAAAACTAAAATTCAAAAAAATTCTCAAAATTAAAAGGTATTGGTTAGAAAATTGGTAAATCAATAAAAAAAATGCTGACGTTGATACAGTTGACAAGTGAGCAAAAATCACCTGATTAAGCAGATGCCAAATAATCCATGCATCACTGGTTTCTACTACCTGTTTTTATCAACTGTGTCTATCACCTACATTTATCAACTGTTTCTACCATTTTCTTCTTTGTTTTTGAGAAAACTTTATATAAGCTGTTTTCATTGACTGTTCAACTGTTCAACTAATTATTTTTATTGATATCACTATTAAAAAGATAACCATTAAATTGGGATTTAATATCAAAGTTTTTTCTCCTAAATAAATTACCTTAACCTGCCCTTTTTAAAGTGCCTTAATAAAAAAAATGAAAAAACACATGAAACAAATGAAAAATAAAATAAAAAAGTAAATATACTTATAAATAATTTTTAAAATTTAGTTTCTGCAAAGTATCTGAATTTAAATTTTCATAAAAAAAAAAGAAAATTCAACAATACCATTTGAAAAGAAAAACTGTATTTCTCTAAATGCTGACTTCAAACTGTCACTACCATGTACAGCATTTTTATAGTTGTCAGTACCATAAAGTGCTCTAATGCTAGAATAAACAACAATTATCATTACAAATTAAATTATCATTACCAGTTACATTATCAGTATTGTACATTATGATTACTGCACATTAAATAAAAAGTAAAGAAACTATAATTGTAAATTAGCTCTTATTAATTATATAACTTCTTGTAAAACCATTCAAACAATTCTTTATAACAATATAATTTTATCTTACCAATTGTTTATTTCATAGATGAGTATTTGACTTAATGAAAATCCCAGAAAATTCCGGAAAATTATTTTATTAAAAATTGATTGTATTAATTGAAAACAAAAACTTAGTAAACTTTTAAAACGGAATTTAGATTAACTTTTTACAAAAAGGAAATTCTAATATTCGAAAAAGTTAATTTGAATAAATTAAAAAGCAAAAAAAAAAAAAAAAAATCTTGTGAAAATTTTAACTATAGAAAACATATTTGTTTAAATGCAAAAATTGTTGTTTTTAAAATTTTATGTAAAAATTTATAATTTTTTTTAAACAAATTAATAAAAAAAAAGCATCCGGAAATTTCTGGAAAATTAAAGGAGTTTTAAGTGAATTTCCGGAATTCCGGGAATTCACGGAAAAAACTCAGCTATGTTATTTGATTTACAAGATTATATTACAAAGATTGAAGCAGATACAAAAAGAAATAAAAAAAGTGCTGATTTTCAAAATCATTTATTTTAATTATCATTTATTATTTTTTTAAATCATATATTTCCAAAATGGAAAATTGCCTGATATTGATTATTTTCTTATTTTATATATATTGGGGTAGAGCTATTCAGAAATTTTATTTGTATTTTTTGGACAAAAAAGATTATTTTTTCATAATAACATTATATTTGAAAAGTAAAATCATTTAAGTAGCCTGGTAACATGGCTGCTGCTGGATTTATAACTTATTAATTTGTAGTCAAAATGCTTTTTACATAAGCATTTCAAATAACTGCCATTATGGGTAGTAAATGGCTTAAAAATTGCAAATGAAAAAAAAATGACCTTTAAGCTAAAGTCATTTTTTTCAGCTTTTTTGATTTTATTAAGACTTCTTTATGTATATTAAGTTTATCTTTGGCGATTACTTATAAGATTTTACATTTAAACTTATCCTAATTTTTGGACTTTATTTTGTGAATAAATTTCATATATGAGTGCAAATCAAATAATTTTTTAAAACTATTTACAAATTAATCTGCATATAGGTACATAATCGATCTGAATATAGGCATGTTGATAATAATTTTTTAATATCAACTGATATTAAAATTGATTATTAAGGATACTTATTGAAACATGATTAAAAACTTGAATCAATGTAATAATAGTGAATATATCAAGAATGCTAGTTGGGTTTGCATAGTTATATAGTTAGGTTTGCATAGTTATGTAGTTGGGTTTGTGTTGTTAGTTTTCGAATACAACCGATACAGAGGATTTTGTAGTTGAAGATGTTGGGAAAATAGTCAAAAACCTTAAAAATAACAATATTTTTACTTGTTAACAAAAAAATTATATATCTCAAAAGTAAAAAAAAAAATTAGTGAAAATCGGCATTAAAAATTTGAAAATAATTTTCAGACACCGATAAAAACAAAAACTTTCAGTGTAAACAGGTTTTACAAATTGTCGACCTATTAAATCTCGATTTGCTAAAAATGAACTTTTAGTTCATTTCTCAACAAAGCTTTGGTTTTAATTATAGGATTTAATATGCGGAATATAAGTTTTATACTTTGCAAAGTATAAAACTTATATCAGCATACTAAATCCTATTGAAATTATAATAAAACAGCCTAATCCTACCCTAACAGCTGCTAGAAAATGCATAATTTACATACATGCATAGAAGTTCCGTGTTCAATCCCTCTATCCCTAATAGTACCGAACTCAACTTGTTTTTGGCTAAACAACCTAGTTGATCAAGGTTCATGTTTCAGTGTTAAAGAGTTGAGAGAGGGTTGTAATTACCATAAAGTACCCTCCTTAACTGTAGTTGCCCTCTTGGCTTCTGGGAGGTGAATAACATAAAAAAAAAATATAGGGTTATAGAATCTGCAAATCAAAGAACCAAGAGCTGGAAACATTATCCATTATTGTAATAAACAACAATATTTTGGCACTTTTATGATAACTTTTTAATTATATGTTCAACAATTACCAGACTTTGGCAACCAATCACAAATACTGATGATCTAGACTCTTTTTATTAAAAAAATGCTGATTATTGCTAAAAAGTATATTATATTTGCAGATTGACAAATCATTAAGTTTAGCAAAAGAACTTTAAAATGAAAATAATTTGATCCAATGAATGAAAGATTTGATCAAATGATCAATATCGCCATTAAATTTCATAGATGATTAACATTAATTAGGTTGAGTATTTATTAAAAAAAATTTAAATTTATTTTCTTTAAAAATTACATTATTATGTCAGAAAAACTAGGAAGCTATGAAATATTTTATCAAGTAAGAGTATAATGTATTCAAATTACATGAGATATTGACCAAAAAACAAAAATACTTCATTTTGATATCCCACTGTGCCAAATAAAAATACTCACAAAACAGAAAATTAATCAAATAGCTGTTTTGACTCTGAAAGGAACCATCAAAATGATCAATAAGATTAAACAAAAAATATTCAAATGGGTAAAAGCATTTTATCATTAGCAACTACATTTTATGTAAAAAAAAGTAATTTTTTTTCAAATTAATAACAAAAAAACATCTGGAAGTTTCTGGAAAATCAAAGGAGTTTTAAGTGAATTTCCGGAATTCCAGGAATTCTTGGAAAAAACTTATCTATGATAGAACATTATATTAATGAATAACTGGTGGATGTTAGCTGATTGTGTTGCTAGATGTTAGCTGATTTAATGAATAACTGGTGGATGTTAGCTGGATGTTAGCTGATTTAATGAATAACTGGTGGATGTTAGCTGATTGTGTTGCTAGATGTTGCTAGATGTTAGCTGATTGTGTTGCTAGGAGAACAGCAAAATATATATATATATATATATATATATATATATATATATATATATATATATATATATATATATATATATATATAAAGATTTAAAAAAATATAAAAGAATTTGTATACAAACTAGAAATTTTTTATACAAACTAGATTTTACAAACAATTTAGTATACAAACTAGAAATTTGTCTGATAATAACTTGCCTAGAAAAATGAAAGAATATTTTTTTTTTTAAATGCACACATACTGCTTGTGCAAAAACAAAGTACCTATTAAAGTACCAAAAAAATTTGAGCATGGACATGGATAAAAAAAATATAAACAAAGAAAATTGGGGAAAGTAAAAGAATTTAAGGAATAATTAAATTAATTTTTTAAATTTATTTTATTTTAGTTTTAGAACTTTTTCTAAAGATAGTTTCTAAAGAGAGGATTGCATTATGTATTTAAAAAAATCTCCTCTTGACACCACTGGCTTTAGGAAGCTTAATATAAGGGGTAAAAAAAATTTAGAAATAGCATTAGCAGAAATATTTACATTTTACCATTAAAGAACTAGTTTCTTGGATGATTTTTTTTAGTAATAACTCATCAAAATTATTTGATGGTACACAGGCATGACTCACGACAGAGAAATTATGTTATAATAAAAATTCAATACACCAATACTGAACGTAATCTATTCAGTTTACAGAACTAACTTCAGGATTAGTTGAGAGGACAAACAGATTGTGAAAGAATAAGCAATATGACTGGTTGTTAGCACAACATTTTTAAAAAATCTGTTCTTTTCGCTTAAATTAGTATAAAATGATAATTAATTTTTAAATTGTTATATAACTTTTATTGTTTTAAGACCAACATTGACGTACCTTCACATGTTTTTTTGTGGATAATATTAGGAACCTGTAATATATTAAAATGATTTAGGGATCTGTCAAATAATTTTAATTTAAAACCAACTCAATAGTCATAAAAAGCAATTGGTAGCTAAGCAACTATCGCGATTACGAGGATTACTGTTATTGTGACTGTTGGTTTCTACAACACTTAAAATGTGAAAATAACAAAAAAATGTCACTTTTTAGAACTTTTTTTTAAAAAACAGGTTTTTTTTTAAAATGAAAAATAACACTATGCTACAATATAACACAATATTCATTCAATATTGTGTGTCAAAACAAATTGAATTAATGTACAAAACAAATTAAACAAATGTGTATTTTTATTATATTAATTTTATTCATGGCTTTGATGGACAGTTTTTAATGGACAGTTTTTGATGAACAGTATTTGATGTACAGAAGCATAATGAGTAGTAAAAATAAAGTTTAAAGCTTTTAAGTCTAAAGTAATTCCTTAAGTTGTAGTCCACACTAGCAAAAAAATGAGTGTCCATGCTATATAAGCAGCCATAAAGTAGCATTTAATAGTGCTTAGCTAGAAATCTAAAACAGGTACATAACAAATGGGAATATTAAAAGCACATAGCCGACAAGTAAGAAAAAAATGACTAACGCTATTAGGGAATAAAACTAGTTTAACTTCATTTTATTATATTGTAAAATTAACATTTGAAATTTATATAATACTTTAAAATTTATAGGCAACTAATTCACAGGTTTCATTTTTTCAAGCATGAAAATTTGTTTCATTCATCAAAAAAACTTATTTATTTGAAATTTTTATAACTTTTATTCTTCTTGATAAATTGTATCATAAACATATCATGCGATCATATCATGTAATCATACCATATGATCATATCATATCATTATACTATTTGCTGCCTTGTTGCTTTAAATGATTGTTAGCAGGGGTAACTTATCCTTGATACATAGAAGATCAATAGATACATACATGATACAAAATATTTAAAATAATGTTTAATTACAAAAATATTTTATATTACAAAAAAAAAGGTTTTGTAAATAAAATTTGTTTACCTAGTAGGTGCTTCATCTCTAGCCTTTGCAGAATTTGTAGGTCCAATAATTTTTCTCCAATGCTCTATTGCTTTGTTTCTTGCTAACAAATATGCAATGCTTTCTCCACTATTATAAAAAAAGAAAAATACAATAATAGAAACAGTAGCAAAAATATACACACTAATTTTTTTTTTTTAATAAAATTAAGAGGCAATTTTGAATACATGTCATCTTCATGATTATGGAATTTTTTCAGTTGCTTACCTTGACCAGGACGTTATGAAATATTTTTGTTCAAAATTGTAAACACTGGCATTTTTTTCTGTAGTCAGATTTAAAAAATAGTTTAAACTATTTGTTATGGTTTAGCTACTCTTAATTTAACTTTAAATGGACATCTATCTTTATTTTACAGTTAAGTCTGGTCATGATTACTATCCTATATATTCTGATTTGTAGTTGTAAAAACATTAAAAATATTGCTTTTTATAAATATCATCTTTGTTTAATAATATTAATACATTTTGTTTCAAGTTGGCTAAAACAATTATAAAAAATTAAAAATACGGAAATAGTAATTTGAATTTTTTTTTACAAACACAGTATCTGCTTTTCTTTATATGGTAGCAAAATAAAGAACACAGTATCTGTATTTTTAGCTAATTTAACACACACACAAAAAAAAATAGAATTAGAAAAGTGAAAAAAAAATAGAATTAGAAAAGTCAATTTATAATTCATTAAAGGACACAAGCAATATAATTAAACATTTTTTCTAGTTGGCATAAGAATGTTTAGTATATTGCAAATTGCGCAAAATGAATATTTTGCAGTTACTGGGTTCTTTTTTATCAAGGCAGAGTACTATCAGGGACATGGTGGGGATTGAATTTGGAACTTCTCACTTATCAGATAAGCGCTCTACCACTACACTACTATCAAAATTATAGCGCATTAAACTTATAAAAATATAAAAATATTATAAAAAAATAAATATAAAAATAAGTAATAATAAAATAATAAAAAACAAATAATGACAAATATATATATATATATATATATATATATATATATATATATATATATATATATATATATATATATATATATATATATATATATATATATATATATATAAATACTGCATTAAAATTATACCACTTTAAACTTATAAAAAAATAGATAAAAAAAACAAAAAAACATGCAAAATATTGTAAAGAATACAATCATGACTCATTCATAAATGGACTTAACTTTCATCATATCCATCCAGGTTTAAACATCCATCCAGGTTTAAATATACATTTATATATATACAAACATTATAATAAAAAATAATTAACATAAAGTTAATAAAAAGTGTGTTTATTTGAAAATACTTGGAAAAACAATTAAAATTAATTCACACACAAATTTGGTGTACATTGTTATTTTTGTGAAAAAAATACAACATCCTCGACATTTATGTTCTTCAAGAAACACAGAACTTAGCAATTATGGTAAGAAAGGACATTGGTCCTTTCTTACCAAAATTGCTAAGTTCTGTGTTTCTGTGAAAGAGATTTCAAAATAATTTACTTCACCACCATAATTAATGTAAAGACTTTAATACAATTTTAGGAATTCATTGCCAAGTATGACATGTTTGCAAGAAATGGATATAACTAAAAAGATTATATCAATAATAGTGATATAAGCATTTGATAACTTGCAAAAAAGTTTGCAAGATGTCAAAGACTTATATCACTATTATTGATATAATCTTTTTAGTTAAATCCATTTCTCGCAAACATGTCATACTTGTTAGAGAATTCCTAAAGTTGTATTGAAGTCTTTACATTAATTATGGTGAAGTAAAATATTTTGAAATCTTTTACTTAACAAGAATTACAATGAAAATTAACACTCTTCGCTTTTTGACCTCCTGAAAATAAACCAATTGCTTATCCTTCTGGACAATATAGCTCTGATGACAAAATTTTTATTGAACAAAAATCAAAAAACTTTTGGACCTAGAATATAAATAAACCTTGTAACTCATCTTAGCAATCACAAATTGTTGTAACAAGGAAGAAAAGACATCAACACATTGATTACTCACATACTACAAACAACTTGATGCTTATCTTTTAACTAACTTCTCTTAGAAGTTGAAAAGTATCATACTGTCTTTGAATTGTCTTTGAAATAGGCAGCCTTTTCAATTTAAAAGAATTCTTTTTAGGTGCACAAATGTTGCACAATTTTAACAAGTTGTGGATAACTTTATTTGAGAAAGTAAATTAAAAAACTTATTTGTAAGTGGTATATCTAAAGATAAACATAATTTCAATTTAGAAAAATTTCTTAAAGCTTCTAATAAAGCTATGTTATGTTCAACAAAGTCAGTATTGTCTACTTTGCATATCAATTTTATTTGTTTAACTATAAAGTGGCTTTTTTCTGATTTAAATTGCTTCTAGCTGAAATGCCAACACTTACCAATAGTCCTTTTCTTTCTCAAGTAATTTGCATGTTCTCATACTATCCCCATTATTTTGAACATTTTCCTGACAAAATTCATCCTTTTTCTCAAACTTCAACTTTCTGGCTGCTAAAACTATAAAATCAGCTTTACAAACAATAGGTAAAAATATCCCACTTGAATTTGAAATATCCTACTTGAATTTGAAAGAGATGCTTCTGATTATGCTATAGTTGCTTCTCTTAATCAGGGTGAAACACCAGTTGCATTTTTTTCTTTAACTAAAAAATCATTCTTTTGTAAAAAAGAAAGCTTATGCTATTATAGAATCACAAGGAAAATGGAAACATTACCTTGTTGGTCAACACTTCTTGCTGGTTACTAATCAACACTCTGTTTCTTTCATGTTTGACATCACTTTTTAAAATTAAAAAATATGTTTTTTTCAAATAATAATGTAAATAAAATTATTTTTTTATATCAGGTTTCCACCAATTTGAAACCTAAAAACTATATAAGGAACATACATCAATCACTAATAAAATCTTTTGGGCAAACTAGTATGGTTTTAAAGAAATTATTTTTGTCAATAAATTTTTAACAGCATTGTCAATAAATATTGTTTAACAAATGGTGATGAACTTTTTAGATTCTCTTCGTATTAGCTTTGTTGTGACATATCTTCCTCAACTGTAACTGAATGATTAACTTAACTTTTTACTTTAGTAGGAATGGCAGCTTTTATGCATATAAATAGAGCTACTAGCTTCTGTTAATATTGCAGGATATTTCAAGGAAAGTTTCACCACCATTCCATTAATTTTCCATCATTCCACTTCCAACCATTGGAATTAGGAAAAACAAGGTCAGCAATAGTTTTCCAACCTCAATCTTTTAGAAATCTGCATCAGATCAGCAAAAAAAAGTTGATACAAAGGTCTTACCATAAAGCATAGAAACGAGGTAGGCATTGCCAAATTCCGACCCTAATTCTGAGGCTTGTTATATATATTCAGATATGAATCTAGTTCATATCTGTATATACATATTTTTTGTAAACCATTTTTCATATAAACATCTATTTTAATCTGCAAACAATCTAATGACAAATTTTACAGCTTATGAGATTTCGATTTAATAAACACCTTATACAGAATAAAAAGGATAGTAAATTTAAAAAATATAAGTGACTCAACAGGCGGGTCAGCCATCATTTAGTGATGGTTTTCATAACCCATAGAGCGGGTCAGTTACAAAATGTTACTAAGGGTTATAGTCAATATTTGCATGAAAATGCATCAGGTGGGCATCAGATTACTGTTGCTACAAGATACTTTGCACCCATCAATGATATAAGCATTAATAACGACAATAAACATAACACCAATAAATTAGATCACTTAAACCTAATCCTAGTGAAACCATCATTAAACCATAGCGTCTTCATTTTGAAAGATCTCTAAAATTTTAATAACTGTTAAAATCTATAATTTTCTGTCTTAAAAGAGTTTTAATTTAAGTCTGCACATTCATGAATCTTATGATTCACGAATGTGCAGTCTTTTACTCAAATGATTATATTTGAATTATTTTTAAAACTGCTATTTTAAACTGTTATTTAACTGCACATTCATGAATCTTATGATTCATGAATGTGCATTTTTTTAAATACTCAAATGATTATATTTGAATTATTTTTAAAACTGTTGTTTTATGTTAAACTGTGCTGATTCGTAACTGTTGTTTAAACTAATATTAATTTCTTATACAAAATCATTTAATATTATCTTAAGGTTACATATATATTTTATGTACACAATAAAGCTTTCTATTCTGGATTTTACTACACTTAATAATATTAATTAATACTAGACTTAATTTTTTAAAATATGTAACTAAAATAATAGAACAGAAACAACTAATAATAACAAAAAAAATGGCAACAACACAATATGATAAATCAAAATATAATGACAACAACACAGTAATTAACTAATTTAATTTTAAAAAAAATTTAATGTGATAATAACATATATTACATATAAATACAAAAAATTGAAAATATACAAATTTTATTATAATTTTACAAAATTAGGTTAGGTGTCTATTCACTAGTTTTTAGTTAAAAACTAGTGAATAGAGTGACACCTAAATAAAAAAATATTTTAAAATTTATATGCAGTAACAAATGTATGAATTACAATACTTATGTAAAAAATTAAATAATCAATTTTTTGTATATATTACTTTTGAATTTGCAGCTATAGCTCTATTTGCTATAGTATTGGCATATGGAAATTAATAAAATTTCAAGGTTATTTGTCTAAATTAACAAAAATAAAAAATAAAAAAATGAAATACCTGCTCATAAATGCCACAAGACTTGGAAAAAATATTTTTCCAGAATGCTCAGCATAAAAATCACTTGATTGTTCCGGTGTCAACTGAACTCTTCTTTTCTAATGCAAATAAATGCAATTTAAACTTTTTAAGAAAATAATTAAGTAACATGTATGTAAGTCTAGAAAAGTCTAAAAAGCCTCTAAAAAATGAAGGCATAACTTTTTAATTTTTATTTTTTTATTCTGATTTACTCCCAACAAGGCTACAAGCAAACATTATAAGGTTAGGAGTTAGAAAAAAAAGATTTAAGAGTTAAAAAGCAAGGTAACGGTTGACAGAAGACTTAAAAAGTTGTAGGTTGTATGAGTAAAGAAAACGAAAGATAGAAGAGAGTTCAAAAGAATTGAATTGCAAGAAAAAAAAACTAGAGGAATAAAAGTTTTTAGAGTATGGAGGGACAGATACAGTAAAAGGATGAGACTTTGCTGAATGACAAGTCAAGCAAGAATGAGTTTTAGTTGATGGAACTAGACATAATAGTTCCTTTGAGCAGCAACCATGGTAGTATTTGTATAAAAGAAAAAGAGATGCAACTTTATGACAATGCCAGACAGGCTCAAACTTGGCAGAACAAGTCTAACTATGTTTACAATGCGTTTTTGGACTTTGTCTAGAAGAGACAGAGCATTTTTAGAAGACTGATTGAATGATAGCTGGAGGGATAAGAATGTTCTCCAGAGATTTTGAAAACTAGAACCAAAGATTTTCTAGCAGGTAGGAAAACAAGATTCAGTCAAGCACTTATTAGATAGTTTAAAGAGAATTGAAGAAATTTCACTTTAAAAGAGAACACTTTTGTATGACAAAAATGTTGTCTGAGCCACACGCCGAAAAAGAGTTTGATTGAGATATGATTTTAGCAACGGAAACTGGAGTGATTAGAATGTCTAACAATGGGTTAACTTGTTTAATTTGAATGGAAGAAATAGGATGGCAACAAGATTCAAGTACAGAATAAAAATAAGCTAGTGTCAGAGACAAGACATAAACCAAGGAGTGAACGTAAATGATTATGGTTATCTGGAAAACGAGTCACAAAGCAACTACCTGAGTAAAAGATTGAGAAATGTAGAAGTTATAGGCTTTAGTGCCAGCAGGGTCAGTGGTGTGCAGCCAAGCCATTCAACGTGATGAGCATTAGAGTTACCAATAACAACAATATTGGCAGAGTGTTAAAGATAAAGAGCACAGTCAATTTGATCAGAAATTATATCTAAAAGAGTGCAGTTTTCAGAAAGAGAACAATAAAGAACAAAGAGATAGGTGATTGAGTGAAGAGGTGCTAAGCGGAAGCAAATAAAAGAATAGACAAAGACAAGCAAGACATGACCAGGTTACACTGGGTTACATGTTACCAGTAGCAGAGTGATCATGATCACCATACACCTGACCTGACAAATAATTATAGTATTCTCCAACCCTCTATATGTTGTGCGACTCTATATGATATGTATACTTAATGGTGGGCTGGAAATAAAAGGGCAGTGGGAACTTTTACTTTTATAAGTAAGTTAATACTTTTCAATTCTGAAGAACGGTTAATACTGAATGTTTTCGAATCAAATGAAATGAATTTATTTTGAGATACAGTTTCTTTGTTGATAAAAAATAAAAATTAATAAATAGAGGATGGGAGGGGGAGGTCTAAATAAGCATCGGATTATTTTAACAGCTCATTTTAACATTTGGCCACTACGATTGAGCGTTTCTCCACTATAGTGACACCATCATCAAAAAAGCCAAAGAGTTTGGAAGAGATTAAAGATGTCACTCAAATGCTATGACTTCAATGAGGTGATATTTTTTAAAAAACATCAATTTTCTCAAAAGTATTTCTTTAAATAGATTACTTTTTTTAAAGTCACTACGACTTTAAAAAAAGTAATCTACTTAAAGAAATATTTTTTTAAAAACTGATTGAACTGAACTGAAGTATTGTTAAGGGGGATAAAATCAATTCTTTAAATCCCCTCTCATTAAGGATTGCAATAATTAACTCCTCTTATACCATCTACCATTACATATTAAATTACCCATTACTAAACATTCAATGAAACTCAAACAATAAATGGGTCAAATTATTATATTTTAACCAATGGCTTGAAAATCTCTGATTTTCCTGATTTTTACATATTCTTATGTGCATTATGTAGATAGGTTAAATTTGAAATTTCAGAAGTGCAACCGTTTAGAAATTATAGCCTTAGAAACATGACACAGAGGAAGAGGGAGGGGGCAAACCTACTTTTAGTAATTTAATCAACTTTTGTTAATGCCCTTTTAAGACCATAACATTGTATATATGCTGGAAAATCAGGCACACATAGTCAATGTTAGTCACTATCAAAATTTGAGTCTTATGGTAAAAGCATGAAAAAATGCAATAAAGATATAATAGCCTTAACTGTATATTCATTAGAAAATGAATTATGTATGTTTTATGTTACAAAATGATAACATGCATCTTTGTTGACTGCCTTTCCTCCACCTTTGATTGGTGCTCCCTAGCCCCCCCTGACTTATAATTAATTGCAGCCTTCCATAGACCAGGGGGCACATTAGAGGGCCACTGGTTTCTAGTAACACATTCAACTGTTGATTATGAAAAATAGGGTTATTTAAAAATGCTAGCATTTTTGATAAGAATCTGACAAGTTCATAACATTTGTATTTTCAGATAGTTGGGTTTAATGGTCTTATAAAAATTTACAAGCATCTCAAAATGGCTGAAAATTGGACTTTTTATGCGAAAGGACATTTTACTTTAGATATATTTAAGTTCTAAACTGCAACAAGCTGCCATTAATTTTACCCATTTATTGCAGATAATAGTAGCTAATGAGAAAATTTATCTGTAAAGACTAATAGATGAATAGAAAAATGCTACAGTTAGTTTTATTTTGGCATATTTTAGCAATTCTAGGATTTTTTACAAAGTTGAGGTCATATTTTTTTTCTAATTTACTACAAGATAATAAAAACCACTTTTTTTAAGGGAAATAATCCAGAAAATAGTTCTAGAAAAAATGAGATACTTGTTGAAAGTGAGAAAAAAGTTATACAGCTCTAAAGTAGTTTGTTTTGGCCATTTGTAAATCGAGTGGGGAGGGGGGACTGTGTCATGTTTGTAAAGCTATAATTTCTTAACTGCTGTACTTGGAAGTCTGAAATTTCAAATTTAACCGATCTACATAATACACATAACAATATGTAAAAATCAGGAAAATTGGAGATATTGACCCACAAAGTTTTCTTCAAATTGGTTGAAATATAATGATTTGATCCAAATAAAATAACAAATAAATTTAAAACTATAATTCAAATAGCAAAACTGAAAAAATAAAATCCATTGCTTAGTATAAAATTTCTAATTTTATATAGAATTAAAAATAATATAAGCCGATTTATTTAACATAAAATATTAGCATATAAAACATAATATTTTACTTTTTCATTCTATAAATAAATAAAATCATAAAACTTTTATTATTAAAACAAAATTTTATTTAAGAAAATTCAAATTTATAACAAACCTGCAAAACTAAAAACCCATTGTTTAGTATTATGTCTTCAATCTCTTCAGCATGATCAATAGCATCAGGCTTGATTAGAGCTAAGGTTTGTTCAATATTAATAAAAGTTGTATTTTCATTCATTTCTTTTTATTAGCTATGTTAACAATTTAATAAAAAGATTAAAAACAGAAAAAAACATAAATTCATTTTGCACAGTGTTATAATATTTTCATTTTTAAAAAATTTTTGAATTTCAATTTCACTGCATGATGAGAAATGGTGCCAATATGAGATATATAGCACTCTTGCTTTTCCTTGATAAAATCTTCCTCCAGTTTCCACTTTTAGTTTCCATTTTAGAGAGTTTAGGTTTGTTTAAGTTTAAGCCTACTTTTTAATTACTTTTTCTGAAAAATGCCATATATGAAAAGCCAGAAAAATGGTGTAAAAAATTCTTATACCTGGTGGAAAAGTTTGACACCATACCAAAAAAGTGTCAATAAAAGGAAAATGTTATCAATAGTGGATGATCAACTTGATGGCTGTTTTAAACTCATAAAATGAAGACCTCCTGATAATGGCTTTATTCAACAATAATATACTAATCTAAAGTTACAAGAATTGAAATGTGTATATATATATATATATATATATATATATATATATATATATATATATATATATACATATATATATACATATATATATATATATATATATCATACATACATATATATATATATATATATATATATATATATATATATATATATATATATATATATATATATATACATACATACATACATATATATATATATATATATATATATATATATATATATATATATATATATATATATATATATATATATATACATACATATATATATATATATATATATATATATATATATATATATATATATATATATATATATATATATATATACATATATATATATATATATATATATATATATATATATATATATATATATATATATATATATATATATATATATATATATATATATATATATATATATATATAACACAAATAGAAAAATAAATAACAATATAAACACTAGAAATCACAACAATCTTCCCATCTATATTGGAAAGTCTAGTTTCATCATTTTAATATAAAGTCATCAATATTTTATTTTATGGGAACTTTGTAAGTTCTAGTAGAGCCTCACAGAATGTCAGTAGATGGTTCATTTATTGGGTTATTTACTTTAACTTTTATTTAAGATTTAATTTCAGGTGATGGACTGTTATTTACATCAATTACTTTTGCAGTTACATCTTTTTTAGATTCCTTAATATTATTCTCATCAATAATATGACTTTTTTGTGGAGCTAAATATGGTGCAAGATCTTGAAGTGAAACAATTGACTCACATCGGTCCAGTTAGCAAATATTTGCGTATGTTGGATTTACATCCACTAATTCCACTTTATCAACAAAGATTATCGTTTTTGTTTGCTCATACAAAAATTCTAAGAAAAATAGTCTGTGCCATATGGCACGGAGCTCCATCCTGTTGAAAGTGTGTGCAATTGTGCAACTCCATAAAGAATGGCATTTTTTTTTTCAAGATTGAGAGGTAGACATTTTCATTGGTTGTATTTCCTTGTGGCAGGAACCAGAGACCACATGTTCCTCTTCCTGTAATGCCACCCCAAATCATCACTGACAGAGATTGTTTGACCCTAGGGGTGGTGTTTGACCCTAGGGGTGGTGTTTGACCCTAGCGTTGGTTATATGGTTCCCCAATGGGACGGTGAACATGGCTACTGAATGTGTAGAACTGTTTAATGAGGGATTCATCAGTGAACATCACACAGTTCCACTGATGTGCAGTCCAGTCCTTGTATTTTTTTGCGAAGGCGACTGTCTTTTATGTTCTTTTGTGAGAGACGAGGCTGAGTAGCTGGATGGTAAGCACAGAGTTTGTAATCAACCTGAACTCAACGACGGATGGTCCTGTTACTAACTGACACCTCAGGAGGTAATCTTGACTTGATTTTGGCAGAACTGCATGTAGGAGAGTTATCATTCGGTCCATTTGCTTGGAGGCGCAGTGTGGGGCTCCAGGAAACTTCCTATAGGAAAATAAACCAGTTTCATGATATCTTTTCACCACTTTTGATACAGAAGATTGACTGAGGTTCAATTTATCAGAAATTGCACTTTATTTTATGCCTTCGCTTGATAAAGCAATGATTTGGGCAGCACATTCACTGGAAATATTACGATGTTTAAACATTCCTAACTAAGTGACAAACTTAACAATTTACACTTGCAAAGTAATATTATAGGATAATTTCAACCTCTAACAACGATTTTGATTGGCTGTTACTATTTACACAATGAATTTAATCATTGTATCATGCAATAATCATGTGTTTGGCACGTGATAACCGGAAAGTCTAATTATTGTCACTTTTTCAATATTCTATCATTATGGCCAGCATGGTAGGTTGTGGGTTTTTAATACCAAACAATTATTTCTCTAGATCAAGACATTATCTCTCAACTTGTCCATTACTGATAGGATGATATGGAGTAGAATAACTTGTTGCAATTCCTTTCTGTGTAAAGTAAGATTTTAATTTATTAGAATGAGGAGGCTCTGTCAGAATGAATGTAAGTTGGAAAACCACAGAGAGATTATTTGATCTAAATATTTGACATTAGTTAGCAAATGGATATTGGAAATAATCATCAATAACCATAAATATTTATTTCTAGAATTAGATGGTAATGGTCCTTTAAAGTATATACTGAGATGATTCATTGGACGTTAACTTACTGATATTTGCAGATCAATAAAACTTTAGTTTTAATTCTGAAAAAATATGGCATTTAGAACAAACTTTCTTGACCTCCTCTGAAGGAAAAGGTAAGTTTTTAGATTTAATAAAGTGAAGCATATGAGTGACAAATGCTTCAAATACTTCACTTTTGATTGAAAACAATTTAACATAAATAATGGTCAAACTTTATTAGCAAAAGAAGGGATTCACTTAGTAGTGTGAGTCGTTTATTTTATAAAATATCATAAAATGAATGTTTTCATGAAATTAGCTTTAAATTAAATTCGCATCACTATTCTGATTGAGTTTGATTTAAAACTTAGAACATTTGCTGCACTATAATATACATTAAATGTTTTATTAAATGAATTGTATTTATTCTTAGGCAAGATGATTATTTATTTTGCATAGATTCAAGATTGCAAAATGCACATTTATTTTAAGTATTGAGCTTTCAGATACTTACTTTAGATATTAAGTACATACGAGTAAAAAAGCATTTTTTGTGCTTTTTATTCTAAAACAAAGCAACCTTAAATTTTTACTCTACAAAATGAGCACTTTTTTGAAGTTGTTTATAGAAATAAATTTCAACTACTCTTTTGATTATTCTTGTATTCATATAAAATTGGCAAAAACCTATTAATTAAAGTTATAAGAAAAACTGGAAATGCTTATAAAAAAGGTGAAATGGAAAACAATTTTTTTCAAAAATAGAAGTCTACAGAACAATAATAAATGTTTCTAGTATAAGGTAATTAAAGATTTTGAGAGAAAAATTTTGTAAGACAAAAATAAATTTTTTTATTTTTATAAGAATAGTAGACATTTCAACAAACAAACAAACAAAAAAAGGATAAAAGTAAAATAAAATGAAACATGAAGAATATACATATCATTATTACAACCGATTAAATTGCTGGCTAATAAAAATTGTTGATTTATAAAATGGTATTTAAATTTCTTTTTTAATTCTACTTTTTTATTACTTATAAAAGGGATATTTTTTTAACTTGGTTTATATATAACTTTAGTCAATAATTGCAGAGTGCCTAAGTGAAGATTTGCCATAAAATTTACTATTTAATGATGGAGCAATTAGTCTGCCTTTATGTGAGATCCTTTTCAATTTTTTTATGTGACTAATTTATTGAAAAAACCATTTGCTAAAGATTGATGGAAGCTTATTGTTTAAAAAAACTGTGTATAAAGATACAATTTTCAACTTTAATGTGATTATTAAATTTTAAAATCAGATGATGAGGTAGGTATGTAATTAGTCTTGCAGCCCTTTTTTGAACAATATTAAGTTGTTTTAGTATTGATGATTTTTTCCCCCAGGATAACAACAAGTGAGAGTTGAATAAAGCAAAATAAATAAATTTCAAAGTTTTTCCATTAACTATGTAAGATAGCATTGGATCTGTTTAATTTATTCGATAAATCATTTATTTGGTATGTCCAGGTTAAATTTTCATCTATTTTTATTCAAAGACATTTGATAAACTTTTGTGTTTTGTAAATAGATTTCAAAGTTTTTACATCAACACAGTGTTTTGGTTTAGATAAGATAGCATTGGATCTATTTAATTTAAGCAATAAACTATTTATATGGTATTTCTAAGTTAAGTTTTCATTTATCTTTATTACCATTTATTTTAATCCTAAATTGACTGTCTATATTATTCAATTTTGGTTTGAAAACTATTAGCTCAGTTTCTGTTAAAAGATATTTTATACATCCAACTGTTTTATTACTTTAACTGATTGCAAAGACAACTTTTTTGATAAACCTACTGTTCGTCTTTTAAATCCAGCGAGAAAAAAAAATTAAATTAGAAAAATCAGTAAACATGTTTTATCTAACTTTATTGTGGAGCTAAAAAATTTCAGTCTCAATCAATGGAAAAACACGCAAAACGTTATTGATTAGTTCAGAGGTATTAATGATAAACAATTTATGAGCTTTATGAGCTTTAATGATAAACAATTTATGAGCTTCGTATTTTTACATTATTGATTTTTATTTTTTTATCATAACCATTATGATTATCATTAAAATCATTTTTCAAAATCATTTAAAAGACTTTTTTTGATAGAACCGATCAACAAAAATCTCTTGAACGACAATTAAATTTGCAATGTAAAACAATCCAACTTATGAATTAATAAAAAAGTATGTAATAGTAAAGCACAAAAATATAAACTTTTTATTATTATCATTATTATATTATTATTGTTATAATTATTAATATCATTTCATATATTATATACTATTAAATAAGTGTAGGAGTAAAAGCAAGTTTTTACTACTATCAAAATCCGATACAAGATTTTTCTTTTTTACTTTGTTTTGACGACGTACGATTCAATGTTTCCAAAAGGGAGGGATATTTCCAAACCTAATTCGGAACCTCGACTTTTTTAAAGCGAGTATGAAAATTGGTAAAACATTAAAACTTTTTTTTAAAAAGTATAAAGTTAGTTTTTGTTTATTTAATTAAAAACGCACATTTGAATTTTTTTTTTTTTTAAATCTTGTTTTTAATTATAAATTTTTACGAGTGTAAACTCATTAAATTTTTATTTTCTTAATTATATGTATTTTATTTTTTTATTTGGCCAGTGTCATGAAAAAAGTTAACCCCCATAACAATTCCCCTATCGGCAAAACAAATCAACTGCCCATAATAATTTAACTCCCTTAGAACAACAACTTTTACAAATTACGAAAGAAGTATTTCAACTTGATGTTTTCCAAATGTCTTTGTTTTTAAATCTTTTAATTAGTTATTGATATGGATATTATATATATATATATATATATATATATATATATATATATATATATATATATATATATATATATATATATATATATATATATATATATATATATATATATTATATATATATATATATATATATATATATATATATATATATATATATATATAATATGTTAGTGTATTATACAAATAGAGTGCTAAGTGTTTATAAAGAGTGGAGCAGTAATAAATTAGTAAAAACACTTATCTAATTACTGATATACTATCGAAGATAATTATATACATAGTTATATAATTATATACTTGTTGGGCCCCCAACCACAATTTTTTACCAATTCAAGAAAAACTTTTACAACTTGACATATTCTTTCAATTTTACAATGCAATCTTTCTGGCCTTAATTATTGCAAACTCTTTTATTATTTTCTCATACTTAAGACCAGTGCTTATCCAGGGCCGGCGCGAGTAGGTGTCACGTGGGGGGAGGGGTGCCATTACAACTTTTGCCGTCTTAAAAAAAAAAAAAAAAAGTCCTCGTTTTTTAAAATTTACCGACTGCCATAACGACATTTGCCGACTGACTTTACCGACTAACCTATCGACATGGTCTACATTTGCCGACTAACTAGTCAAAAAAGGTCACACTTGCCGACTAAGGTTATAATTTGCCGACTAAAAATTATTGATAGGGGGAGGGTGTCACACACACCCACACCCCCCTATCGCGCCGGCCTTATGCTTATCTCATGCTCAATGCTCAGTAATGCTAGCTCATTGAGTCGCTCTTGTAACATGGTGGTCCTTAAATATGTCCCAATCAATTTCAGTTTGGAGAAAGATCTCTCCCCTGTAACAGTGACTGGAACTGTCAGTAGAATTCGAAGTGCTATACAAAGGTAAGGGTATAGCTGTCATATTTTTCTTGGTAATATATTGAAGCACTTCAATTGGTGATGTCACATCAATTGGTAGTAAGATATTCAAATAAAGCGCGTACAGGAAATAAGTGTGAAAGTAGAAAAACAACTAAAAAAAGGCACTCGTTGACTTTTATTGGGAACTAAGTATTAATTTTAATACATTAATAAGAAGAATAAAATAAGAAGATAAAAAATTTCAAAGAAATTAAATCTATTTCTGTGGGTATTTAATAAAATCTTTGTTTTGGTGGTACCCATTTTTGTTTTGGTGGTACCCAAACTTTTGTTTTGGTGGTACCCATAAGCTTGCGCACAGAACAACAATCAAAACTATTTGGTGTTTTTTAAATGGCACTTTCAAATCTTTTTCTTTTTTCAAAGTTTTTAATGTTTTTGCATAGTTTTTTTTATTTTTTTTAATTTTTCGTCTTATAATTACCGAGTACTTTGCAATAATTTTTAATACTGGGCAGTTTAGAAGATTTGCTATTTTAGACAACTTTCAGGTCTTTTTTATCATACCATTTCATAGCCAGTTTGCTATAATGAATTGATGATAAATCAGACCAGAACACACGTCTACTATCATGTGATTCAGTAGGAGATAAAAGATGTTTTTGTTAACACGCTTCAACATATAATTTACTAAAAAGTGTGGATACAGAAATATAGAATGCTGATTTTTTACCACACCTACAAATAGCTTGCCAAATAAAACTTTTTTACGTAAACTTATCATTTTTTGTGTATTTCAATTTCTTATCTGCTTTTCCTTTATAATTGCAATTATAATAGACAGCACCAAAAATTTGATGATAATCATACTTCATATAAGTTACATTATCTTCAATAATTCAGAAATTTTCAAAAATATAGTTGTCATACAACATTCTTTGGTGGGTTCTTGTTTTTTTTGAATTTCAAAACAGTTAGGCACTTTTTGTGATTTGACAGCTTGAAAAACATGTTTATATCAAACTTTTACAACAAAGCAATGAAAATCCTCTTATTTTTGTGCGCACCCTTATACCTAGTGTGTGTACCCTGAGTGTGAAGCTTTGATTATTCAAAAAACTGTAAACCAGTTTTCTAAATAGTTTTATATCTTTAAAAACCTCCTTTCCTCCATTACCAGATTTGCGTTTGATTGATTTTTTTTAGGAAAAACTTTAAACAACATGACTAACGATGTAGAAATGTATTTGAAACTTTTTTGCTACTGAATAGCTAAATTCAGATTTTTCATAAAATTTGTGCGAAATATTTTTTTTAACTTCTTCTTTATTTGTCATTTTTAAAACTTATTTTAAGTTAAAAGGGAAAACTAAAATCTTTTTTTGAAATCATTACATGTTGCCAACAAAATCCAAACACAATAAAAATTATATTAATATAACCACTAAAATAAAATTACGTATTTACTCTTTCACATTTATTTCGTATACACGCTTTATATTCAAAATTTACGTGAAAAGTTCTTGGCTGTCAATATCACTTCTCCCCATTCTATCCAGTTTTGTTTTAAATTCTTCACAACTAGTCCTTAACCCTTCATTATCAACAGTTTTAATATCAATATTCAGTATCAATTTCACAGTTAGCTGCAATTTTCTGAGCTTGAGCACTGAGAGCTACTTTACAATTCTTGATATATTGCATAGCTAATTGAAGGTCCATTTTTTCAGGCTGCAAGTACTTGCTTGCAATATTAATCTGCAGCAGGAGTTCATACCATATGTGATGAAGGCATATAATGCTAATTTGTTTGTCTATGATCTCAGTTTAGCGAAGGCAAAGGGATCACTCGTTGAGTCTTCTAATTTTTCTAGTACCTACAAAATTTCAGATAAATGGTTCCTAACAACTTTTACACTATCAAACTTTGCTAATAACTCCACTAGGCCAAGAAAGTTTCCATTCCCATGGGCATAAAGATTTTCCTCACTGCCACAATAATTTAATTTTTTTTTTGCCAAATATTGAACAATTCCCGCAATTCTCTCAATTACTGATTGCCAGTATTGCTGTTCTTGCTGAAAGATACTTTGATTCTGTTGATCGATTTTACTGTTTGCTTTCAAGCGACTTTCAAGCTCCTTACATTTTATCCAGTTGTTGTGCTCTTGTGAACGATCATGCTCACTTAATATGGAATAAATGTTTTTCCAATCGCAAAAACCACTGGTATTAAGTTTTTGTTTATCGACACGAAACAACTTGCAGCAGAAACAGTATACGGCATTTGCTTTTTTTGAGTATACAAGCCATGATCTTGCTATGGTTTGATCATTTGTCATCAATCTATTATAGTTTGAAGTACAAAACCTTCGTTTTGCTTAGGAATTAGAAAAGCAACTCTTTTGGGAAAGCATAATCCTTTGTCTGTATTGGTCCTGATAGAACTAATTATTTTCGGAGATGAGACAAATCATCAGGCCAGTCTGCAGGATCTGAAGAAACCTCGTGAAGCTCAACCTCAGGAATTTTTGTTGGTGTTAGTTCCCTTAATGTTTTGATGCAAGTTCTGCCGAAGCGTTTGACACAAAAATATTGCCCTCACCATTTTTATTAATTGCTGCTGCATAATCAACTGCCCAATTTAGAGATTTTGGAATGGGCATAACTTGATTTTGGTGTTGTGGTCGGGTGAAAAATAAACTAATTTTTGGAAAAAGTTCAATCTTTTTTTCATTCTCTTGCTTTTTTTTTCGTTTGCTAAATCCACTTGCATAGTTTTGACTCATTCTCAAAGTCTACAGTTTTTAGCACAAGTTATCACATTACACAATTTTCGACATGTTCTGTATCATTGGCTGTATTGCGGATGTACTGAGAGCAATAGACGCCGCGCCAGTCTCTCCAATTTTGCCCAAGAGTGAGCAGTATTGATGCACAAAGAAGAGCACGAGCATAGTACTACTTTGAGCAATGCTGTAATGGCCCCACTTTGAAGACATTTACTGTAAAATTGGACCAATATTTCGCAAATTAAATATTAAATTTTAATTTTTTTTTACTTTAAAATTTTGAAAAAATTTGAAGGTCCTTCGAGGCTCCCTAGATATTGAGGGTCCCAGCAGCTGCGTGGTTTGTCTATTAGCCCTGTATATAGTTTAGATAGCGAACTAGTTAGCTATTTAAACTCTATATTCTTAAACATTTTATTATTATACATTAAGTAAAGAGAAAGATTTGCAGAAGTTCGTGCAGTATTATTATTATTATTATTATTATTTTTACCTCTTTTTTATTTTCGCAACAACTTACAAATTTGTCAAAAATAAACAGTTATAAATAATTTTATTCAACGCTAACTAAAGATCTATATTAAAAAAATATATTAATATAAACTATTTATATAATTTTGTAGAACTTCTTAAAAGTTAAATTATATAAAACGCTTATTAAAAGGGGTTAATTTGTTTCGGTGGGAAATAAACAAACCTCTTTTAATAAGAAATATTTAAGCCCCGGTTAATCCATTTTGCCATATTTAAAACAATTCAACTCCCGGGGTTTATTTATTTTGAATTAGATTGACCGGGGAGTTAAAATGTTTTATCCGGGAGTTATTTTTTTGGGGAGTTAATCCATTTTGCGTCAGCGGCGCGAAGGAGTGTGACACTCCCCATCCCCCATCAATAAATTTTTTGTGCATGTAGTTGACAAATTTGACCCTTTTAGACGAGCCAGACCTTTTTACTACCTTAATAAACATAAATAAGAAAAAAAAAACGCTTAACAACTAACAAACAAAAAAAACGCTTAACAAACAAGAAAAATAAAAATAAAGTTTAGAAACATATAATAAAAATTATATGTTTCTAAACTTTAAATCTCACTTTAATTAGTATAGTTATTATGCCAACATATCGTAGTTATTTTAGCCTGATTTAAAGATATTGCAATGTTATATTAATTATTTTTTTTAAATTTACGCATATCAATTTTTTATTATGTGTATGTTTTTATATTCTATTTTTGCTATTTCTTATGATCTGCAAAAACTAGTATTAATTTTTTTATATACTTTCATTGAAAGGATTATTTATTTTGTGCAAATTAAAAACTTTTTTTTTTCATTTTTTTTAGTTCAACCATGAGGTTCTGCTCTACTCCATTATTTATGTTTAACTTGACTACTGTTAAAATATGGTTTTAATTTAGTAAATTTTCATGAATTGACATTTACTTTGTTAATCATTAGCCAACAGTTTAGGTAATAAACTTAAATTTATCGCCAACAAGGTGACAACAATTTTGTTTTCTTGTAACACCATTAAACAAACTTTTATGATTATTATCATGCGATTGCTATTTAGGTTCAGGCGATATAGCGGACGTTTTAGGTACACGTCTAACAGTTTTAACCCGAAAGCACAATCTTGTTTTGAGTTCAAAGGAGGAATGAAATAATTCAGGCGGTGGGAATAATCTGGTACAATAGTGAAGATTATGTTAGCTTTTTATTTAGGTTGTTTTTATTGTATTTAATGGCGAAGATAAATCACTTTGTCATAAACATAAAATGCAGACAGAGATAACAATAATAATAATAATAATAATAATAATAATAATAATAATTGAATTTTTTGTTTAAATATGCTCAAAAATGAATATGTGATGTACTGCGTAAAAATTATTTTAAAATACTCATTCAATGGTTCTCGGATTAATAACCTAATTCCTTTTTTAGTAGGAGAGCGACGCTTAGTGCGATGTTATCCTATAAAGGAGAGTAATAAGGAAAAACGGAGCAAGATGGTGAATGGAGCAAATGGTTTTTCATATAACAACTCAACAAAAAAATGGTTGAAAACGAAACTATATTTACATCTTGTATTTTAAAACGCTTATTGTTTTTTTTAAATATTATTGACGTATTTTTATATGTATAAGTTTGCTTTTTGCGCATGAAAAAAATACCTCAGTTTATTCTATTCATAATCAATGGTGTCCTTCAGGTATAACTTTTTTAGGACCATTTTTTGCAACGTGTGTTTATATTGTGTTACTTTAGTCAGAGCAGTTTTTTGGTAGTTTTTAAAATTTTATAAAATAGGAGGTATAAATCGCATAGTCATTATGCCCCGGTCACGTGACCAAATGACAAATTTGTAAACTTTTTATTTTAATTTTTATTTCAAATTTTCGCAAATTGAAAATTCATCCAGGCAATGAATAATTAAGTTAACATAAACATGTTAACAAAGTATTATTGCTTCATGACAGATGAAGCAATATCGGGTGAATACGGAAAAATCCGGTCAACTTTAAATTGAGATTTCTCTAAAACCATAAATGCTTTTATGGTTTTAGAGAAATCTCATTTCAATCTTTTATTATTAAATGTGTTAACATCAATGAGAGTTTCGACTTAACTTTAAGGGGCTTGATGACCTATTAGGCAATAGATCGAATTTTGTAGCGGGTTGATGCCATCATTTCGAAGATTTTTTCTTTTTTCACCTTATTGGTGGCTTTAATCCACTTTTTTAGGAAGTCCTTTTTATTTTTTATTACTCCAACTGTCTTACAAAGAAATCCATTAATTATTGCCCAAAAGTCTTTAATCTTGCGCTTTTCAGGACGATTCGAGGATTTGCATCTTTATGAACAATTTTTACATTATTATCTTTGCACCACTGTAAAACTTATTTAGAATAGTGAGAAGCAGCAAGATCTGCCCAAAAGAGACATTAGTATTTGTGTTTTTTCATAAATGGCAAAAGTGTATTTTGGAGGCATTCTTTGATGTAGAGATTAGCATTCAAGGTCTTCTTAGTGACAAAACAAGAGGACTGCATACCACAGCTATAAAAAGGAGCTTGCAAATTTTTCTTGTCGAATATGTTTAAATTGATCATCAGCAGGTTTATCTTTGTTCTCATATTAAAATTGTTGACCAGGAAGTTGCGAAAAATCCATCTTGCAATATGTTTCGTCGTCTTCAATTATGCACATACTTTTAACCGCAAATTATTTTAACCAACTTCTTTGCGCGTCGATTTCCTTTAATTTCACCATTTAAGCTTTTTTTAGGTGTATTTTTCTCATGAAATGCTTTAACTATAGCATTTTTAAGCACTTTTTTGATATAAGAACATGAAATCTTAAATTTTTATAGCTAGATCTCGCAAAGACTGGTTTGGATTTCTTGCTATTGAACATAAACTTTAACTTTCGGATTTATGGAAAGTTTTCTTTCTTCCACTTCCAGGGTTTTTTTCGAAGCTTTGAGTAACCTTGAACTTATTAATAATATCTATGACTGTAAATTTTGGTACATTTGTACGTTTAGCAATCAAGCGATATAAAAACGATGGATTTTTACAAATAAAATTCACAAGTATTTAACACATATCAATTCGTTTACTAAACATTTTGCAAATCACTGATTTATAAACAAAAGTTTATCAACACAATTAAAGATATGAAAGTAACGTTTAATTAAAAAAAAAAGAAATAAAAAGCATTTGTGGTTTTGGGGAAATCTCAATTTAAAGTTGACCGGATTTTTCCGTGTCCACCCGATAATACTTTTTCTTAAGATAATTAAAATTCATGAAATTATGTTTTTAAAATTTTTTAAAAGCTTAAAAATTTAACTCTTCTCTATAAAGGCAATATGATGTTTTTCAAAACAGAAATTTAAATGTCTTCCCATATTGTTGTAATATGGGAGTTTTTTCAAAAAAGAAATCTATTTTTATGCTTTTATTGTCATTTCATATCGGTCGAGTTAGCGATGCAACCGATGCAAGCGATGCAATGATTCATCAAGTAAGATAACAAGCACAGGACTTTTTCTTATTCCAATTTTTTCTCATATCTACAATTCTATTTTAATATGTACAGATACATGTAGATATGGACAGAGACACTTGTTTTGTTTTCTCAGCTTTATCCGAAATGATTTCGGATGAAATAACCAAAAGTTAACAAACGCATATTGTAAGAGTAATGCTAGATTTAATTTCTTTTCATGTAGAGCGGTAGAAGCTTGGAATGGTTTACCATCATGTATTATAGAACTAATATCAATTGATCAATTCAAAAATAAACTTAAAAAAGTTACAAAATCAAATTATTTCAAAAATTATTTATTAAATGAAACACTAAATAAAAGTTACATAAATTAAAAAGTAAACAATGCCATTATAAAAATATTTATAGCTGTTATAGCACAACATCTTCTGTTATTGTGCTCTACAATTGATTTCATCAACTGTCACAGTGTATACTATTATTGTTATCATCATCATCATCATCATCATCATCATCATCATCATCATCATCATCATCATCATCATCATCATCATCATCCTTATTATTATTTTTATTATTATTATTATTATTATTATTATTATTATTATTATTATTACTATTATTAATATTTTATTAATAAAAAAGAGATTGAAAAAGTTTTATTTAGGAATGTTTTCTTCAAGTGTCTTTTTAAAAATTGTTCGCTGTTCTTTTACATTCCAACATTGAACCGCGTGTACCAAAATATGAAGAGTAGCTTCAGGAATTACATTCTCTAAGACTTGAAGTTTTACTTTTTTTTTAATCAGCATCAAGGTTTTCATATTCAGTTTATGATTATCACATAATTCTTTTATATCATCTAAAAAAGAAAATTTAACTGAACAGTAATTAAGTTAGGAGTTAATGATTTCAAAGGTTACTTTATTGTTTAAAACGCAGATAAATAGATTTATTTTGTTTTGGTGTATATAATTTGACATCTCCTTAATTTAAAATAGAGAGTGTATATAGTTTTTAATATACTTGGAGACATTAAAAATTGATTTAACTGCGTTCCTTCCAAATGTGTCGTGTTCTTTCATTGTTGAATCTTTATTTTCTTAGAGCTCTAGACCGTGGGTTAATGTCGGAACTGCTAATGATTTATATAATTGGATAATAGATCTTGGATATGCAAACCGGATTCCAGATTGAAGCGGAGTTTGCGCTGTTGCCCGGAAATTTGATACCCTACTATCAATATTTATTCAATTTAGTCAGGCAAAAATTGATTTTTTGTATCCCAAGTAAAGCCGAGATGATTAAGTTTCTCACGAAGTATAATTTGATGGTTGTCTAGAGATATTGCGCAGTTCATTATTTGTCTTTTTCCAGAGAGCAAAAGTTCCGTTTTGACAGCATTAAGTTTTATACCGTTTAAATTGTTGTATATGTTACACTTTAAAATAAGTTTTTTTAGGCTCAAGAGAGTAGAGCTGAGAAGAATAATGTCGTTAGCATAAGCTACAACACAAGTCAAGTTTCCATATATAGTAGTACCAACAATGTCGTCATTTTTTATAGTTTCGAGTAGGTTCTCATGTTAGATAGGTAGGGTGACAGAATCGATCCTTGTCTCACTCCTTGCTTAAGATCAAATGAGACTGATTTGCAACCTAGGTATGAGACAGTTGCACTGCCGCTACGGTATAAAGAAGATAGAGTGTTAACTATTTGGAGAAGTAGATTTTTATCAAAACAAAGTTTATTAAAAAGAACATCCCAGTTGCAGCTGTCAAAAGCATTTTCAGCATCTAGTAAACATAAATAAACAGGCGAATTGTTGCGATTATAAATGCTTAATTGTTTCACTTACAACAAATTCAGCATGTAGGGTTGAGCTCTTATTATTAAAATCAAATTGAAGTTGATGAGTTTCTTTTATCTCCGGGCATATGAATAAGATAAGGTATTCTAAGAGTTTAGTAAATATTGGAATAATGCTGATACCGCGGTAATTGCTTGGATCGGTAAGTGATTTTTATAGGATTTAACAAGAGGTATGATAGCTGATGTTGACATTGATGTAGGGGTCTCATTAAAATTTCATCAGGATTTTTGCAAGGTTGAATTCAAAGATTAGTAACTCCATCAGTTATTCTCTCAGTGTTTAACCGTTTTTCAAAAATAGTAGCAAACTCTGCGACGATGGATTCTTTATCTTTTTTATTATTTATAGTAAAAAGTTTTAAATTTGAATTCTTTTTCATACCTCTAAAAGTATTCCAGAAGTGTTTTGGGTTAGATTTTTTAAGTTTTTCAATTTTTATGTATTGTTGATATAGCCTATTGTTTTGGGCTGCTTTGACGGCTTAGCGGAAATTCTTCCGAGCAATAGGTAGCGATTAAAGATAGATAGAAGATATTTAGAAAACCGGAGTTTTTTTCTACTTTTCTGGATTAATTTATTTTACCAGTAATGATGAGTTGTAAACCGGTAGTTTTCCTAAAGCATGTTTATTTATTATATTTATTATCCTTTTGTTTTTAACTACCATAAAGAAATAAGATTTCAGGAAAATAATTAGTTTGTTTCTTTATACAGTTCACATCCGTAAAAAAAGAGATATTTTACTTTACATTAAAATCACACTATATAAGAACGGACGCCACACGATACTTGTACATGTAATTTTCACGTGGAACGCATGTGGAAAACATATGCAAGCCATATACCGACCATATACCTACCTCTCTCCTAATGGGGTGACGTTGGTGCGGTCCATGTGACATACAGTGGTATAAGCATTATATATAACGCTTATAACACTGAAAACTACAATAAATACAAACGAACACTGCACAATATTTGTGCGTGAAAGTATAACGTTGGCTACATGTGGGAAGCATATGTCCGGCATATATTTACCACTCCATAATGCTTATAACGCTTGAAACCACACTAAATAAGAATAATTACCACGTTATATAGTTACAGAAAGTTTTCACATGGACTATGTATGGGAATAAAATATAATTACAAGTCTAAAGTTTAATCTAACTTGTTTATAAACGAATATTTTTTCTTACACAAATGCAGATGCATAATCACATATCGGTTAAAAAACTTAAAACGTGTAACATTATATTTTTTGTATTTTTTTATAACTTTATTCACAAATCGATATATAAATAAAAAAAACTTTTCATACAATATCCAGCTTATTTGTTCTGTATTTGTTCTATACATCACCATAATCTGATGATTTATGTAATCTATAAAATTATGCAAAATATTTTAGAGATAAAATAATTCACCAGATTACGATTATCATTGTAACGATAGCCTCTTTAACGTCTTTATTAAGCATTTTTACAATGCCTTCAAACAGTAGTTTCAAAAAAAAATTCATATAAAATCCAAGTATAAATAAAATGGTAAAAAAAAACGATCAAAATGTTGGCCATATCAGAATCTCTGTTCTTCGTTAAATAAAATTTTGATATTAAAAAATTTTAAGAAAAATTTATCTTGGATAACAATTCTCAAAAATATTTATTACAATATTCGCTTAAGTAGACTAACAAAAATCTAATAAAGTTGTATACTGTGATATAATAAAATATTCGTAATGTGTTTTCACGTATTTAATTTAAATTTGTACTAAATTATTTGACCTAATTATGTGAACCACATTATGTGGTCCACATGTGTGCCACATTGAGCATCGATATGTATATAAATCAATCACCAATTCGTTTATAATTTCACACTTTTTTTTATCACTTATAATTACTACCGCCGCATGTTGGCCACATATACCTTTCTTATCGGGGAACGTCAATAGCCAGAATGCATTGGGAGCACTGTGAAGCCCAAACAATCCCTAATTATTTGTTAAATAAGACTTAACCATTTTGGATTATTGAATACAGAAAACATTATGGATTACAAAATACTTCCTTACAGTAGCAATTACTGGTGAAAGCTTTAAAATATCAAATTTAGAACATCCATTGAAAAGAAGATCATGTTAGGTAAATTTTTAAATTCAGCACTATCCAAAACATTTTTTTTAGATCTATAGTCATTAATAATATAATAATAATTAAGCGTTTGAAGTTATATATCATTATCTTCAAAAATTTTTGGTTTATAAAAATTTGTGGTATAAAAATTGAAGGAAAAAAAAAAGGTTTTTGGGGAAAAAACTTGTGTATCCCAATTAGGATTCTGAAATGATACTGTATCTTACAATTAAGATTTTGCAATGATACTGTATCTTACAATTAAGATTTTGCAATGATACTGTATCTTACAATTAAGATTTTGCAATGATACTGTATCTTACAATTAAGATTTTGCAATGATACTGTATCGTACAATTAGGATTTTGCAATGATACTGTATCTTACAATTAGAATTCTGCAATGCTACTGTATCTTACAATGAATTTCAGTTGCACTTAATGAAACATCAGAGTAAAATATGCAAAGCAAAATGCGTTGCAAAGTTTTTCACTAATTATGGTGAAAAATATTGGAATATAATTTATGATTAAAATGATCTTTTGTGGCATTTTTCAATACTAAATCTATTATTTTGCTATTGTACATTCAGCTATGAACTATTATAAAATACTGTATGATGCTATATAAACGATACTCATGTTGAAATTTAAGTCATTGAAATGTTAATAGGAATTAAAACTTAGGTTTCAAATACTATGCAAGACTCGGGCTACTAATAAATAGCCTATGGGATAGTTAGACAATTAACAAAAAGCTTACAGGATAGTTAGGTAACTATTCAGAATTGTAATGAACTAAATTGCCCACTGTAAATATCATACCTTGCAGAAATGTCTAGCATCCAAAATAAACCTACTGTTAGATCTACAGAATATTTTATTATCTTTTATAAAAAGGATAATTGAAACAGATTGTAAAAACACCGACAGAATACTCAATACAGAATACATTTCTGGAAAAAATTGTAACTAATGTCTGATTTCATAAAGACATTAGTGATTGAGAGAAACAGCGTCGAAGCTTTTTGGATGAAAATAAGGAACACCGTTGTTAGTCACCAATTTATTTTTATTCTTGTTTAAAACATATCCGCAAAAATATGCTTAAAATCTCTAATACCTTTATTGTTATTGCTGTACAAAAATTCTTGCAACTTTATTGTTACTGTTGTATGGTAATTCCTGCAACTTTATTGCTACTATTGCATGGTAATACCTGCAACTTTAATGTTACTGTTGTATGATAATTCCTGCAACCTTTTCCTATAAACCTGCACACGATATTAAAAAACTAAGACTAGAATTCAGTGGGAAAAGATTGTCTAGAAAACGTAATCATACGACGTAAAGATTATAAAACTAAATAAATTACTACTTCTAAAAGTTTACGCTTTAACAATAATAAATTACTACATATAATATATAAATTAATTATAAGTAAAATTTTCTTCAAATTAACCAAAAGTTATTCTTGAAAATATCTTTTGCAAATGACGTTATTCAAAAAAATTAGCTTTTAGAAAACCTATTTATTTCAGTTCGAAGAAATGCAGCATACAATTAATTTTAAGTATATTTACAATAAATTTTTGAACAACATTTTCATGAGGCAAATGGTTTAGTATATAAACAGAGGAAAAATTATAAATATGATACAAATATAAAAGTTGAAAATTCTTTCAAAAGTAATCTGTAGAGAGAAAAAAAAAAAGTTAAGCAGATTTAACAAAAAAGATCTTTGATTTATTTATATACCTGTCAAAATTATTTATATAAAATAACAGAAGAAAAGAAGTTTAAAAAAAATATTTAAAAATTTTTAAAGCAAATTATATATATGAAAACAAAAAAAACAAAAAAATAATGATAACAATAAATAATATTATAATTATAGCTGATATTATTAGAAAATAACAAAAATGCAAATTTAATTTTACTCAGCCATCAGAATTTTTTCAAAAAAAAATTTCTAATTTCAACTGAGACAAAAAATGTCATATTTTATATCCTATACTATTCAATAATAAAAACTATATTCATGCGAAAACTTTAGGCTACGTCACTGAAAAATGTCTTTTTATGGGATCGTATTCCTAACTTTGTAAATCTTTATTCAATAATTTAAAAAAATGATTTTATTGTCAACTCACATGTTGTGAGTTTTGCAGTTTTGAAATAACATCGTATAAGTTTTTAGCATCAAGAGCGAGAGCGTGAGCTGCTGCAAGCATATTCTTTCTATTCTGCTGATCCACTGTTGTGTCAGCATACTTCTGTGCAATTTTCATTCTATTAACCAATTCTGCCATATCAGAAGAGAGAACTTTTCGTGCCATCTCAATCTATTATATATAATAAGAATCTATAATATATTATATATAATAAGAATCTATAATATATTATATATAATAAGAATCTATAATATATTATATATAATAAGAATCTATAATATATTATATATAATAAGAATCTATAATATATTATATATAATAAGAATCTATAATATATTATATATAATAAGAATCTATAATATATTATATATAATAAGAATCTCTATATATATATATATATATATATATATATATATATATATATATATATATATATATATATATATATATATATATATATATATATATATATATATATATATATATATATATCAGACATAAGTCAGAAATACAGGGAATTTCTTTCGAAATAAAAATATTGTTCTTGATTTATGCACTTAATTAGATATTTTATTTAACATTTAAAACACAACACAAATAAAATTAGTAAATATATTAAATAATAATTCTTAACTAGCGAACTCCTGGGCAGCGGCTCGTTTGTAAACAACTATAATTCTTAGATTATTACCTTATGTTATCGTGGCATTGCTTATTAATAAAATAACGACATGCTGTCTACACAAAAACTTTGGATTTGTGTGTATTTAAGCAAAATACAAAATTAGGTTTATAACTACTTTTCAAGAATAATATTGAACTAAGGAGAATAAGAACTATTGTTTTAACAACATAACCTAAATCAAAGTTATCAATAGTAACACTTTTAACTGTTACTTTCATTTGTATTATGACATAATATATATTATAGATTATTAATTAAAAAATATATATTTCTTAATTATAATTCATCAAAAAGTTAAACGGAAATACTGAACTATAAACATTTTTCACAAGTAACAAGACATAAGTGCATGTTACTAGATCTAAAAACAAGAGATAAGTGCATGTTACTAGATCTAAAAACAAGAGATGAGTGCACGTTACTAGATCTAAAAAAAAGACGAGAGCGCATTTTGCAAGAACTAAAAACAAGAGATGAGTGCATGTTGCCAGATATAAAAAACAGCCACTACACAAGAGCAACATCTTTATTCGGCCTTTTGATAGCGCAATAAAATAAAAAGATGTTTAGAAAAATTTAACTAAAGCAAGCAAAAATAAAAAATAAAATATAAAAACCAATATTTTAGTGCGAAAAGTTATTGTTTAGAAGATCACTTTATAAGCTGCTATCGTGGTTTCCTCTAACTTTAACGGAAAAGCCACGATCGTGATTCACCGCACTCCAAGGGTTAATACCAAGTTTGAGATTTTCAAAAAAGTTTTTCAATAATATCTAGCCCAAAAAAGGTGCCTAGAGGCCCTAAACTACACAAAGACATTGAGGGCTTCTTCCCTGTTAATACTGGCGCAGTGCGAAATCAAAAAAAAAGATCCTTAGCTTGTTTTGTGGGTCTCCTAAATTTGACCCACTCTAAACCGACTAATACAGGCAGATATTAGAACACATCCGTATTCTAATATCTGCCTGTATATTAGAACACATAAGTATTTTAGAGTGGTTTAAGAAATTTAAAACTAAAAATTTCTTAAACCACTCTAAAATACTGTAAACCTTTTTGCAGCGCCGTTATATAAATGGAATTGCGTATCACTTTGTAATTAAAATTTGAAATTTTTTTATAAATAATGAAATGAAGTTGAAACTCTCCGTAAATACAGTATTGGACAAAACATTTGCAACCAACATCGAACAATGCTAAAAAGTGTTCCTAATTTTACATGTCTTCAAAACGAAACGAACTATACTACCACAGCAAACAGTTCAGGAGTCTCGAGTCATAGCATGCCATGACATGAGCAATCAGCTGACAGGTGACAGCAAACAGGCAGAATTTCGTTGACAAGTGCCATTTTGCAGCCGACAAAACAAGTGCAACTTTTTTGGTTTGTTTCATTTTCTTAAGTCTGGTCCATGTCAATGTCACGGAAGTTTTTTAATAATTAAAGGAAGTATCCAGAAGTTTCCAGAAGCATGCAGAAGCTTTCAGAAGTTTCCAGAAGAAGCATCTGGAAGCATCCAGAAGCATCCAGAAGTATCCAGAAACATTCAAACGCATTCAGATACTTCCAGAAGCATCGAAAAGAAGCATATAGAATCTTCCAGAACAGGTTCACACAGGTTCATTCTACTATATAAGAGACATGTAAACCGACATGTAATTCAGTCAGTATATGGAAGTCAGTATCAGTCAGTATTATCAAGACAGTTTGTCAAAGTGAGTTTTCTCAAAGTGTTTTATCGAAGAACATCAATACAAGTAGTGAAATACAACAAGTGTTTCATTACATCAATACAGTCCACATCCAACCAAGACAACAATGGGTTTTTCAGCAAGACAACGATACGAAACACACTACAAAAGTAGTCAAGCAGTGGTTTCAAGATAACCACCTATCGGTGATGGATTGGCCGCCTCAATCTCCGGATCTCAACCGTATCGAGAACATGTGGGAGATTGTCAACTGCAGAATTAATCATGAAGGTGTTCGTAATAAAGATCAACTGTTTGAACAAATTCAAAAGGTCTGGGCATCAATTCCACAAAGTTTCATTGATTACCTGATCGAATTTATGCCTCGAAGAAGCAAGGCTGTAATCGACAACAAAGGATTTGCCACAAAATAGTGATAGCGAAATTGAGCTTAGTCAACATTTTGTGGAGTTGAACTTGTTTTGTCCAGAAAGAAATCAACTTTTTTTAATACTTTTGATTAATTTATTAATTTTCGTGTACAAATAATGAACTTTGTGATGAATAAAATTTGAAAAACGTTGTCTCTAAACAGTTACATAGCTATTTCTTTAAATTGAAAAAATGCATTACTTTTATATAAAGAAACTAAATTAGCATAATTTGGTTGCACTTGTTTTGTCCGATACTGTATACAACTTTTTTTATAAATAAATAATCTCTTTTTTATTATTAAAAACAAGTTAAATGCATACTTCTAAATAGATAATTTATACCTCTTTATAAGTAATTAAATTTACTTCAGCTAATAAATCACGTAAATTTAAACCAACCACCTAAAATGATAAAAAAATGTTAAAATGATCTTGTAAAATACATTCAAAATACAATCAAGCAAATTTTAAAAAATAATAGAAATAGCTTGAATATTTATTATAAAAAGAAATATATATACCTTTACTAAGTCTACAAATTCTTCAGGCTGGGCATGTTGGCTACCAGTATTTAGTTCAATGACTGATTTCACCACATTGGTTGTATGCAAATAAACCTTTTCTACATCTATATTTATATTTTGTTGAATGTGAGGAGTAGACTCTTCTAAAGAAGGAATTAATTCAGAAGTGTCAAGTGCAGTAGTAACATTTGGTGAAGGTCCTACGGAAGGTGTTACAATTTTACTGTTTCGAACAGAGGATTTAAATGGTATAGCATATAAATCATGTTTTCCTGCAGTACTAACAATGGAAGCAGAGTTACTGAAGGTACTAGAGTTAGTCTTTGTGTTAGAAGATACTAAAGAATCTTGCAACTGATCATATGTTGAAATTCTAGGGTTTTCAACTTTTTGTTCACGAGCTAATGGCGATGGAACCTACAGAAATTTAGTTATAATAAATCATGTAAGTTAAAACAAAATGATGCAGTATTTGAAGCTGTTAGTAGTTATTAGGTTTAGTAGAAAAAACAAAACAAAACAAAAATTTAAGAAGAGTAGCTTCCTCTCCATAATAGTGGCTACCAACGGATAGTCATAGTGACTACCCAACTTTAGCATGATAAATAAAATAACTGAATAAAATAACACTCAAAAAAAAAGCAAAAAAGCACTCAAACATAAAAATAAACAATTACAACTTTATTATAAAAAACTGAACGCACATAGGTAGTCGATGTGTTCTTTTCAAAATTATACAGTGGTATGCTTCTTCGTAACAAGGCTACATAAAACAATAGTAAAAAAATTTTCATTAGTTTTATATTTAAAATACTCAAATACTTTCAAACGAATAATTAATGCTAAAAACCAATAAAACTTACACGAACTTTTTTTTAGTTTTTGTTCTATCAAATCATTTACATATGCTTCTTTGTACAAATCATACCCAAGTTGATCAGAGTTATTTATAGATTTTCCATCATCTACCTGGAGTTTCAAAATTTTAAAAAAATGAAGGCGTAATTATTTAATATTCTTTAATATATAATTTCATTATTCTAAAAATAATAAAACAAACCAAAGCTGTTTCTTTTTGTGATTGTTCATTTGTTGAAAAACTTTTGGTTTCTTCACTTTCTAACCACTCACGATCAGCTTCTGTTTGTTGTTTTTGCTCAAGAAGCTTTGTTTTAATTTTTTCATCCTCTTTAAGAGAACTAAAACCACTTTTGTCATCTGATTCTTGCTTTTGATTATC